AGAATGGCTGCATCTCCATGTCTGGTCACAAGAATGGCTGCATCTCCATGTCTGGTCACAAGAGTGGCTGCATTTCCATGTCTAATCACAAGAATGGCTGCATTTCCATGTCTAATCACAAGAATCCTGCCCCCTCCATCACTGATTCCTGCCATACCCCTGCAGCCCATGCGGCTTGACCGGCTGCTGATGCGGCGGCATCTCCAAGTTGCCCGCCCACGCCAACAGCCCGACATCCGCGCCCGTCTTGTTCGTGCTGTACTTGCCCCCGCCAAACTCGAAGAGAAAGTTCATTGGGAAGCCGACGTCAAAGTCGACGGCAGAGTCAATCTCGTCAATCTCCTGCGCGCTCAGCTCGATGCCCAGCGCCTCAATGTTGCCCTGCAAGTGCTCCACCTTGCGCCCGCCCACGATCGGGTACACAAACGGGTACTTGGCGCGCACGTACGCCAGCGCAATCGACGTGATGCCCGTGTCCCTGCGCGTGGCGACGGCCTCGAGCTTGGCCGACACCTTGATGTGCTTGTCCGACGCCGCGCCAAAGTTGCGCCCTTGCTCGTTGTTCTCGCGCTTCGCCTTGGTCGTGAAGTTGCCGCCGCCCAGCGCGCCCCACGGGCACAGCGCCATGCCTTCGTCGCGCGCCATGGGGATAATCTCGCGCTCAAAGTCGCGCTCCGCCGCCGACCATCGGCCCTGGTACACCGAGAACGGCCGAAGGCCGTGGTCGCGAGCGTCTGCTGTCGTCAGTTTCTCGAGCGTCCACGACCCCAACCGGCTGTGCACTTACACTGGTTCGCCTTGCTGACTACCCACGCAGGCGTGTCGCTGACACCAAGGTACAGCACCTTGCCTCTCTGCACCATGTGGTTGAGCGATTGCATCAGCTCGGGGATGCTCGTCGTAAAGTCCCACCAGTGCACGTAGAGCACGTCAACGTAGTCCGTCTGCAGCTTCTTGAGCGACGCCTCGAGCGAGCAGCGCAGCGACTTTGTCGAGTTTCCCGCAAAGTTGGCCGCCATGCGAGGCATCGTCTTCGGGTCCGGGTACAGCGTCGTGAACTTGGTCGCCACAACCATCTCCGCCCGGCGGCCGCGCTGCTGCATCCACTCGCCGATCCAGATCTCAGACTCCTCGTTCTGGTAGTTGTTCGCGCTGCCGCACACGTCAGTCCGCTGTCGCAGCCCTTGCGAGCCAGACGCTCCAGTGCTACACCCACGTGTCGATGAAGTTCCCGCCCTGCTCGTAGAAAAAGTCCAGAATCTCGAACACTGTCTTCTTGTCGCACTTGCCCATCATGTCCGACCACGCGTCGCCGAAGTTCATGGCGCCCAGGCAGAGCGGCGAGACGCGCACACCTGCGGTCGGGGAGAGCACACGCTGGAAGTCGAGCAGCGACTTGGCTACCGGTGCGTCGCCAAATGGAGAAGGCATTGTGATCTTTGGCTACCGGTGAATGTATCCGTGAGCGGGGATTGTGCTTCGCGTTATGCTTCGCGTTGTGCTTGCTGCTATTGAATCGAATTGAACTGAGATGATCAGCGTCCTTTTGGTTGCTGCTACGGCGGGCGCTGCTGCCCTTTGTACCTGCGGTGTGCTCCCAGCTCTTTCCAGCGATCTGCCGTGCTCATGACGTCTAGCGGGCCATCCGTGTCCATGGTCCGTCAAGACTACAGCGGGCGTCCACCGACGGATAGTGGGCTACGGAGACAAGGCACGCACGCGGGGGGAATCGTGCGGCATTAGCGGAGATAGCGAAGAGGTGGATACCCATCCATCATTTGCACAACCGTGTTGATTGGCAGGCTGCGGAGCTATCTTCGCTGGCGCGTCATCACTGTGCATGTGTTGCCTGCCCCCTTCGGCCTTTCTCCCCAGGCCCCACGCACGCTTGCAGCTCTCATCGACTCGTTTCATAATCAACCTCCGCTTTTAGCCTTTAGCTGGAATCGTGTGGAAACCACTGGCAACCCCGTCTTCCCCGGCACGCCGTCTTCGACAGACGGAGCTTCCATGCTCCCGTAGCCGTCCTCGAAGTTTAGCAGCTCCCGTAGCCGTCCTCGAAGGTTAGCAGCTCTCGTAGCCGTCCTCAAAGGTTAGCAGCTCTCGTAGCCGTCCTCAAAGGTTAGCAGCTCTCGTAGCCGTCCTCAAAGGTTAGCAGCTCTCGTAGCCGTCCTCAAAGGTTAGCAGCTCTTGTAGCCGTCCTCAAAGGTTAGCAGCTCTCGTAGCCGTCCTCAAAGGTTAGCAGCTCTCGTAGCCGTCCTCAAAGTTCAGCAGCTCTCGGTACTCCGTCGCCAGCCTATCCGACTCGTGCGATGCTGCAGAATTATGCGATATGCTCCGCTGGTGCCCCGGACTATACACGGAGCTCACAGAGTCGTTTCTGATAAGCTCATGTGTTGCTACGACCGGACGGTAGGCTTTGTACACTGCCCCGGTGGCTTCTTCTGATACGATCTGCAGGTTCCTGGAGCTCATTGCCTGTGGCAGGGCGTAGGATGAGTACCTGTATGCATTTGTTTGGCGTGTGGAGAAGCCGGGTGTCGAGTCGTCCAGGTGCGCGCTTGGACTGAGGGACTGACGGTGACCGTGTGTAGTCACTCCCCCGGCTACAAGACTGGCTGGCAGCGATCCAGCTTTCGTGGGAGGAAATGTTGTGCGAGGTTTCAATGGCTTGACAGCAGCGGGGCGTTCCACATGCTCGTGTCGTGTGTTGCGTTGCTCTGCGGGCGACGGCTCAATGCAGGAAGCTGGAAGCTCCGCGACGCATGCATGGTTTGTTGGTGCCGTCGCGTCGAGTTCGAAGACAAAGGCTGGCTCTATTTGAGGTGGTGGAGCAGACGAGTGCCTGTAGTGCCGAGATTGCGGCTGTGTGGATCTTTGCAGGTGCTCAGGAGCGTCATGCACACCCTCGGGGACCACCAGATGAAGCCTTTCACGTATCGGCGTACTTCTCTCTTCGAAATACTGCTGACGCAGCACCGCCTCTCCTTCGGGACTTCCAGCGTGGAGGCTACCTGTCTGAGACTGTATTCCCTGGACTGATGTTCCCGTCGAATTTGTTTTCGTCGAGTCCGTACGTCCGGTCATTGTCGCTCTCATGTGAGCAGGCTGGAAATCACCATACTCACGTTGAGAGCTTCCGCTCGATGCTTTGGAGTACAATTGGCTGGACGTGTATTCTACAGGGTGCGAGCTGTGATGCTGCTGCCGCTCCTGCTGCTGAGAAGTGGACCTAATATCCAAATACGACGCTGTGGCGTGAGGAGCCATCAGGTTTGGCATAGACTTGCGCGCTTGCTTAGCTGCTGCTGCTGCAGAGACAGGCTGTGGCTTTGCAGATTTTACGCACTGCAACCCTTGAATCTGAGTCAATTGTCTCGGATCCTGGAGGTAGCCCATCGATGGAGGCCGTGCATCGCGCGCAATGCCATCTTCCGCCGTGCCGTCGCTGCTGCCTCTTTGTCCGCTAAAACCCCAGTATCGTGAGCGTGATACCCTTGTATCGTTGATCTGCTCCGATGACCGCTGTGTCGGGTAAATCAGTGGAAGAGGCTGTGGAGCTGGTGGTGCGATGGCCATGGTGGGTGGTGGTAACGTGTCGAGCAACGTTCGGTAGCACAGGCGTTGGTCCTGTACGTCTAGTCGATCAAAGAACGAGGTCCCCAAGAACATATCTTCGACTTCCTTAATGTTGAGTCGTGCGCGGATTCGCTGCACCTCCACAGTTTCGTTCTTACAGAGATACACGATGTCTTTCCTGGGATCCCAAGACAGCTCGCGGGACTTGCAGTAAGATAGTAACGTAGCCAGTTGGTATTGTATATTAAGACTCTTGAAGACCATTTGTCTACCATTGGCTGTCTTCAAGCTCAGTGAAACGAGGCTTTTGTTTAAGTCACCCGCTCTGGGCGTGCCACAGGCACCTGGGGGCGTCAGTATTGAAGCGTAGGGCGTCAAGCCTAGACAACGAACCTGAAGGCACAAGATCAATTTCGATGCTTGCATTGATAGAGCAGCCTTGATCCTTGTGCTCTGGACCCGTCCAGACAAGTATCCTGGACGGCAGCAGTGGGTTCATACCTGTCGGTAATCGAATGCTAATCCGTTAGCTCTTCGGATCTGGTACAGTAAGACGAGACATACCGGCGGTTGTTCTCGAGTTTAGATTTCAATCGCTCAAAGTCCTTGTCATCGTAGGCGATGTGAAGGTCGGGCATCTCGCGCTTGTAACCCAGGCAGAGCATCGGTAACCCGCCCATGAAGCCATATGTGAACCTTTTTGCATCGAAGAGCGCCTGGAGGTGGCAAGCAGCTGCTAGAATGTTGATTTTTGGTGGTAAGCACTTCCCTTGCTTGCTCTTGTAGTCGTCAAAGTCGTCCACGTTGTAGTAGCGAGCAGACTTCGTCATATTGGTCTTATCCCGCTACTGCAGAATCGCGCTTTCCGAATGGAAGCGAGATCGTGCGAAGTGAGGAGTGCGTTTCGAGGCAGTGTATCACTGTCGTTCAGCTGTCAATTAATCCGAAATAGCGATATCATGGGCGGAAGTGCAACGCTGGTGTAAGTCGAAGCTGGAGTCTCTTCAAAGTTGGCCCACCGTGATACTATAAGCGCACAGCACATGGCTGCGAGACTTAGCGGCATTATCCATACTCGTACTTTGCACCTCGTACGGGAGACAATGCCTCTGATTGGTCTGAGCTGAACAGGATGACCGCTGACAAGAGCGGTCTGAGCACTCCCGCCTAGGAGGCTGAGGTGCTTGATGTGAGGCGTGGTGCTCCATCTTTGGAATGTTTAAGGGCAGCGTGCTGCGGCGTCGCGTGTAGACAGAACCAACCCTTTCGAATTTGTGGAAGCGACCATTGTGGATGTTAGAACGGTGGCGCGGTAGTGAGGCTGTGGATCTGGTTCTATTTTTAGTGATCTCGCGTGGCCCCTGGACAGCTTATCTAGAAGTGCTGCGGCTAGCTGGACTGAGTAGTCCACCCCATGATCAGATCTTGGGATTTAAAACCCATGTGGCCTCTGTTCTGATGGCACCTGGCAATATCCATCTTCCTTAGAGTTGGAAGCATCAACCTATTGGAGATCTGCTTGTCAGATGCTTACATTAGGATGTTACAGCGCTGTTTGTGCTCTTAGACCGGGCCTCAACGTTGCAGGCAAGTATGCTCAGTCATTTGATATCGCTCACGTAGACTGCTGATATGCGTACATGGCGTGAAAAAGCCCATTACTCAGATACCGCCACCTGGAGTTGTGGTCAGCATTGTCACAGTAAAATGGTATCGCGAAGTATCGATGATGCCTTCCGCCTGAACAACGTACCTGACCGCTCAACTCTCACGCTATAATCACCCGCAACATTTTCTCTTCTCTGCTCAGCCAACGACCTGGACTTGAAAATCATGACTCCGCCCAGTGACAGGGTTGTGATGAGCGTCATATTGCGTGGACTGTAGAAGGAAGTTAGTCTTCTCAAAGCGGACAAAAACTCCAGGCAGCCCAAAGAACGTACGTGAGGATAGGCATTGGTAGAGATTTGAGGTCTCGTAGGAAAGCCGAGTCGTCTCTGATGATGTCTTTAGCGTTTCCACAATGTTGAGAAGTTGATGAGAGAGTTATGGCCTCCAGGAGGCCGTCGCGTGTCCATTATGAAAGGCCTTGGTTCTCGGTTACGCATCTCCCCGCAAACGATCCAGGCCAGCGTCGATCCTCGAGCGCGATCACATCGTCGCATCTTGCATGACAGGCACAACGAGCTCTGACGGTACCATACTGTGATCACTGAGACAAAAATTACGAGAATCTGGGCTTCTAGCACGGTCCCAAGGGCTCCGAAACCATGTTCGAATACCTGATTACTTGCAGCATGATTGGTTGCTCGTGTAGTAAGAAGCTGACCAATCACACTCGCCGCAACTCCGTCTGCTACCGCCCTTACGACGGCCGCTCCACCGGCAGAATCTTCAAAAGGCGCTGAACTTTTTTGAAGCGCCGTCCAGCTGTCCGAATCAACACGCCACAATGCCTCTCCCAAAACGACAAGCGATCCCCGCCAAGAGCGCGAAGGCTGAAAAGCCCTCAAAGGCCTCCAGATCAGCAGCAGAATCAGGCGATTCTCGATTCGCAAATTTCGAGAGTGATGCGCGATTCCGACTCCCGTCGAAGAAGCAGACGAAGACAAAGCTCGACCCTCGATTCTCGCGGCTACGAAGCGATCCAGACTTTTATAACAAGGCAACCGTTGACAAATATGGCCGAAAGGTGTCCAAGGATGCTGGCAAAAAGGCCCTTGCGAAACAGTACGACGTAGACAGCGATGAGGATGGCAACGAGCAAGATGAGGACCTTGAAGACCTCCAGGCCGGGAAACGCGACAAGTCTGTTCTCAAGGAACTTGCGCGCGTTCAAAAGGAGGGATACGATCCCATCCGCGACGGCATGGAATCGTCCTCGGACGAGAGCTCCAGTGATGAGGAAGAGGAGGAAGTCGAGGAACAGGTGGAGCTAGCTGGTGATGACAACGAGGTTCCTACGGGGGACATTTCCTCTCGTCTAGCTGCAGTCAACATGGATTGGGACAACATCCGCGCCAGCGACATCTTGGCTGTCGCAAACTCGTTCGTGCCCGCAGATGGGCGCATTCTGAACGTCGTCATATACCCCAGCGAGTTCGGCATGGAGCGTATGCAGCGCGAAGAGATTGAAGGACCGCCACGAGAGATCTTTTCTTCTACGGCAAAGAAGGACGAGAACAACATCACAACCCTGGAAGACGACTCGGACGCATCAGAAGCTGAGGCAGGCTCGCCAGCCAAGGAGAACCTCCAAACAGGCGAGGACGGCGAGGAATTCGACTCGACAAAGCTGCGCAGCTACCAGTTGGATCGTCTGCGGTACTACTACGCGGTTATCACTTGTTCTTCGGCGAACGTGGCCAAGTCTATCTACGACAACCTGGACGGACGGGAGTACCTGACAAGTGCCAACTTCTTCGACCTGCGATTTGTCCCCGACGGTACTGAATTCGATCAGGATCCCCATGACGAATGCAGCAAGTTGGCGGACGGCTACAAGCCGAACGAGTTCACGACCGACGCCCTGACGCACTCGAAAGTCAAACTGACATGGGACGCGGAGGACACGACACGGAAGGAAGTGCAGAAGCGCGCATTCTCGAGGAAGGAGATCGACGAGAACGAGCTCAAGGCATACCTTGGTACCGACTCAGAGTCTTCCGAAGATGAGGAAGAGGCTGCAAAGACAAGCAAGGCAGCCAGCTTACGAGCTGCCCTCGGCCTTGAGGCTTCCACGAAGAAGTCTAGGTCGAAAGACACATCATCCTCGAAACGAGATCGCGACTTCCCCAAGCCTGAGGGAGAGATGCAAATTACCTTTTCTGGCGGCTTGTTGGGTGAAGGCAAGGGAGGTTCGGTGTTCGAAAACGAGATCCCGCTAAACGAGACTACGCTGGAGAAGCACATCCGCAAAGAGAAGGAAAGGAAGGCCAAACGTAGGGAGAAAATGAAGGCTAAACGCGAAGGTCGTGATCCTGACGCGGAGGTTGAGGAAGCTACAACAACCGCTGCAGATGGTGACGATCCATTCAACGACCCCTTCTTTGCTTCTGACGGCGAAGACGTCGAGAAGGCAGCAAGGAAAGCAGACAACAGGTCGAAGCGGGCGAAGAAGCGTGAAGAGAAGGAGGCAGAGGAGGCAGCAAACGCTGCAGAACGCGCTAAACTCGAGCTCCTCATGGCTGACGATGAAGACAACAAGATGCGCCACTTTAATATGAACGAGATTGAAAAAGCCGAAAAGGCGAAGAAGAAAGGCAAGAAGGGCAAGAAGAATGCCCCGGTTGTGGAGGACAACTTCAAGATTGATACAGCTGATCCTCGATTTGCAAAGTTATACGAGAGCCACGAATTTGCCATCGATCCTACCAACCCTAAGTTCAAGGAAACCTCTGGCATGAAGGCGCTACTTGAAGAGGGTCGCAAAAAGAGAAAGCAGGGGCGGGAAGGAGACGAGCCGGAGGCTGAAAGACAGCCGAAGAAGTCGAAGAATGCGGAGGACACCGGTGATATAGATATCAAGAAGCTCGCGGCGCGCGTGAAAGCCAAGAGCAAGCAGAAGTAGAGTAGCCTGACAACCTCCAGGCTGTCGTCTTAGTCAAGATACCCATTCTATTGATTTGCATGCTAGACATGTACGGGTAACGCTGCAACTGCCTAAGCGGTACGCGTGTCGAAAGCCTCAAAGCCGATGAACTCTAGATGCCCTCTAGCGTTCCGCGTCGCAATCGCTTACTTGGGGCGGTCATAAAAACACCACTTCTATCCAGCTCGATTTCGAGGACCAGAAGTGACAATGGTAGCCTGTCAACAAGATCTGATTTCGGCCGTGTCGGAAAGTGTTGCAGCCGCTGTTGGCGCGCGTGGGATGTTTTCTATCAGGTGGTCCACGGTGAGGGTTGAGACAACTGACGTCATCCTCAGCTAAAAACTTCAGTCGGCATGATCCATCGGAGATCTGGGGATGCACACCGACTCCACCCCCAGAGATCAACAAGCGTGCTCAAAGACTGTAGTAACGCGTTCCGAGTCGGAGATAAATTCTTAACGAACGCATCATGAAGCTCAGTGACAGGAGAAGGGGCTGTGCTACGTGAAATTTAGCACGCTTGTGTCGACAAATAGTCAGATTCGAACAACGTACTTGAACCGGCCGGAACTCGGCTATGGATAAGCCCGCCTGGACCTCCTCGCGTGCCAACACCTCTGCGGGATGACGAAACAGGGCTTGAGATCTGAGAAAGCTCTTAATAGTCTTCCAGGCATGTTTGATTGTGGCGCGCCTGCTGCTGCCCCTACAGGCAACACCCTATCATCCACAGCAACATGCGTTTCCGCCAGAAAGAGAGAATCGACTATGGACCAGAGCATGAGAAGGATAAGCCGCCGGAATTTGTTGGTCTAAGAGATCGTATTGCGCATTTTACATGGTATGGCTAATGACTTCATCATTGCGAATAATTGTGTTGACAACGAGTAGGACATGGTTTGCGGCGACGATGTCCACAGGAGCCCTTGCTGTAGTGTTGGGCAATACCCCAAACACATTCACGGGATTACAGACGATCGGCAAAGTCGTTTTCATCTTTGATATCCTTCTCTTCTCCTTATTCAATATTCTCATGGCATGGCGCTTCATCCTGGTACCGCGCAAGATGCTGGCCTCGCTACACCATCCCGTTGAAGGCTTGTTCCATGGCACTTACTGGGTATCAGTTGCCCTGATCCTGAACTGCGCATATATCTACGGCAATGCCGACACCGGACCGTGGTTTCCAAAAGCGCTTGAGGTCTGCTTTTGGATGTACTGCGGCATCGCGTTTATCATCGGCGTCATTCAGTATTCGATGTTCTTCCGTCTTGAACGACTCAATGTTACAGATGCAGTCCCTGCTTGGATCTTTCCCATATACCCGCTTTTGGTGGTAGGCACGCTGGCAGGCACTATTCTACCAGCACAGCCAGACGGACCCAGCTGGAATATCTTCATCGGCGGAGTACTATTGCAAGGCGTGGCTTGGGTGGTTTCCTTCCTCATGTACGCCATCTACATGCAACGACTGATGACCGGCAACCTGCCGTCGCCCGCAACACGACCTGGCATGTATGTTTCAGTTGGTCCAGCCGGTAAGTCGAACTTGATCTGAAGAGAAGGGAAAACACTGACCCTGTTCCAGGCTACACTGCAGCAGGTCTAATCTCGTTAGCCAACCAAGCGCCCACCTTTATCGGAGCAAACTACTGGACAGAGAGCACAGTTCACGACGGTGACATCGTGCGTATCTTCGGCATCATGTCTGGACTCTTTGTCATCCTCTTCGCCTACTGGTTCTTCTTCATCACGACCATCGCTGTCCTAGCTGGTGTTTGGAAAATGACATTCTCGCTGAATTGGTGGGCGTTCATCTTCCCAAACGCTGGCCTAACTCTGGCAACGATTCAGGCTGCTAAGGTTCTCAACAGCGAGATACTGAACGGTATTGCCAGTGCACTGACGATCCTGCTTGTCATCATGTGGTTCATAGTCACCCTCTTCTGCATTCGCGCTGTCTACCGTGGCGAGATATTATGGCCTGGTAAAGACGAAGATAAAACTATGGAGAGGATTGCATGGGGTTGGCAGAGCAATAGGCACAATCCTGAGGCAAGGAGGATCATTAACCTGGACGATGTCTAGTCAAGCGCCCGCGAGTAAAACCTAGTCATAAGATACACAGCTAGCATCAGCAAGTGTTGACATGAGGTTTCCCACATCACAAATTGCAGTCTCGGCCCACGTTCGGAGGGAGCTTCAGGTCAAGTGGCTTCCATCCAAGATGTCGCAAGCAACAGCGCCACAAGCGTTTTATGGCGTACAGCACAGGGGTTTGCACGCATGCTACGATAATGAGGGGTCCCGTTCGACGGGAGGCATCCGTAAGGATAGAAACATTTACATCACATGCAAAGTTTGACAGCCATCTCAACTGGCGCCGTTTACCATATGAATCCTCGCTATACATATCTGTGTCTGACGACATTGGTGCGTAACGACTGATGGGCTTGCACATAATCTCTGTAGACATTAGCTGGTGGGCCGGGTCATAGCGCAAAATTAGCATTGACTGAATCACTCGTTCACAACTTCCCTCCTGACAATGTCTATGCAAGAATACGTGCTGATCGAGCAGCGAGGAAGGATCGATGCTCGGAGCTGACCGAGTCTGGTGTCGAGGCTGCCAAATCCAAGCGTCAATGCCGCGATCCTGGGGTGCATTGGCACCTCCTGGACCTTCCAGGTTAAGAGCTTGGTCGTTCCACCAGGCGATCTCGTGATGCTCGGATTCTGAGCGGGCGGAACGCTTGGGACCAAGGGTTCCCGCCTCAGCTGCGCTATCTCTTGGTCGTTTAGGTAATGAGGCCAGTGCGGATCGAATGAGATTGAGCTTCCAAGTCGGGCTGAGAGGCCTGAGGTTTGGAACTTTAATTCCGGGCTACAGTCTACGGCTACTGTCTGGATGAACCCTCGCAATGCGGGCTTTCGCGGGCGTCCCCAGATTATGCAGTGCAGATTTCGAAATAGGACTTCGGTATTTCTGACAGTTCTAGACACCAGGTAACGTTTCTCTGCACTCTTCCGACTCAGAATTAAAGCATATCTTTTTGTGTAATGCACAGCTTCGATCCTCGATGGCCTCGATGCCCAGTTTGCCCGGTGTTGATACGGCAAGATGCTAGAACCTTCGGCCGGGTCGCCCAGAGATGCCCAGCAACGAACGTTGTGCCAGGCCCGCGATCTCGTCATCGTGAACCCACTCTTGCTGCATGCAAACGTCGATTGTAATCAGTGCAGAGTTCGTGCCTTTGTGTAATCCACACCTCGTGCCTCAGTCATCCGCAATGCCGTGATTCTGTGACTCACTCGGTGCGATGATATTCCCGAACTCATTAGTCTAGACGGACGTATAAATAAATGAGCACGAAACACGACCGAAGCATCGGTGGTTCGTAAGCACCGACACGAAGAGCTGCAGCCTTGCCTCAACACCATGCGTCACCCATGCTCAACAGTCCACCATCGGTAATGACGATAGAATCTAGACTCCGCTGTTCTCACACACCTGCCCTCTTGGCCACGCGTTCGGTCTCATTGCTGGATAGGCGAGCGCTTGGCCGCTCCGCTACCAGGGTAAATTCGTCCTGACGGCCTTTGGTTGGCGACTGGCGGCCCCGCACCTCGTAACGTCGGGCGCATGAGACAAGCCTGCACAAGTTATCGCCGCGCCCGACGGTCGGATAGGACGGAGCTGGCGTGGGCAGTTGCCACGCGTTGTCGTTTCGGAGCGAATCAGCGCCGCAGCTCAGCCGGCGGAGATAGCGAAGTCTGCCTGTCGCGAAGTCTGCGCGGCCTTATTGGGTGGGAGTGCAGGGGTATATCTTGCATCGGGCTTCGATTGGGTTAGTGCGATGTTATTAGGGTTTTGGCTTATTTGGGAGCGGTAGGTGTGGGGATAGGCGTTTGCGATGCGCATGGGGAATTTGGGGATGAGAGTAGGGCTGGAATGAGAGTATATAGGTGAGGCTGATCCCCACTTACAGACATTCAGTAAATATCATCGACATCCCAATTCAATCAATAACAATCAACACCAACACTATTCACCATCACTCGACGTCAACCATCTACACTTCAAACATTCACCATGTCTTCTCCGGCAACTCAATACGTCTACATCCCCAACCTCGTTGGCCGTCAGATGCTCCGCATTCCCCTTGAGGAAGTCGAGGCTGAGGACATCGTCACATTCTCCTCCACCATTTCGCGATCATCGAGCGAGACTATGGAGAGTGCGCCCTTGCACGTCCGCGATTCCTCGCGCTCCCTCAGCATCTCGTCTGCCTCGTCCGTTGAAGAGGCGGAATGAGCACGTTACTGTGGGGCACGCAACCCAAAAGATCGAACCAAAACCAAAACATCACAACCACTGTTGTACAACAAGGCCGGAGTACTGGGAAACGCTAGCAACTCGAGACGAGTGTCACCGTTGAGTCCTTTGAGATCGACGTCATTCGACACCGTCTACCAAAAGTACGGAGTCCTAACAATGAGGTGTGTCGCAAACGGAAGCAACCAACAAATAGCCTGGTGAAGCATGTTATCATTTCGACAAGTCGAGATGCGGGGTAGGACAAAGAATCGCGATAGGGATGAGGGTATCATTACCAACAAAGGAAGGTTCCGTCGGATCACGAAGACGGGCGACAGAAATGGAAGGGAGGCACGTTGCTGCCTGGTTGAAAAAGTTCTAGCAGATACCCATTTGATCTTTACTGTTCTGATAATATCTCATCATTTCACATGATAATATCTCATCATTTCACATGATAATATCTCATCATTTTACATCATACCATCCCCGCATCGTATCTATGTTGTCGTGGTTTTCGAAATGCAGTTTGCATGTGCATCTGCTTATCGACAGCATCTTCCACTCTTTGAAGATCAACCGGTCTAGGTCAGCTCTTCGACACTTTTGTGAGAGTTTGAGATTTCACTGCAAGTGTTCTCGTGCGCAACCGGAAATAGTGAGCATGTCCGAAGGAGCCGCCACTCACATTGTCTGAGGTGGGTCTCGCGTAGCATTGCACATCACGATACCTCTGAAACGCCAACTTCCATAAGGACCCCAATAACCCTCAACAAGCTTTCTGTCACAGTCTCATCTCTCAAACTCCATATGGTTCGTCCCAACTCTGCGATGACGCAGCTTTTGTTTGGTGCCAGAACATAAGTCATCCACTACATTTGTCAGTGAAGCTGTTTCTGCTGTGTGGCCACAGTGTGGGCGTGCCAGCTGCTTATGTAACCAGTACGCAAGGCGGCATGAAGCTCGCGCGTGCCTTACATTAATACGACAGCAAGAAGTATTAATTCTGTTCCACAACGTTGTTAGCAAGTTTTCTGAAAGCCCCTCAAATAACAGGGTCTTAGATAGGTGAGCTTAGGAGGTGGATAGGGGTAGTATGTTGAATCAACTCGAATGCATATGCGACACTCGTCCACGACGACTCCACAATCAAGACATGCTATACCAGTGCAATGTTCTTGGCCGAAGCTTCGATGTAATTATGCATTAGGATCTCGAATCGAGGCTTCCACGCGTAATTGACTTGGGCGACCGAAAAGCAAAAATCGTCAAGAATTGCCATAGTTCTGACCACTACCGGACTGATCAATCATTCTAGTACTTGCATGCTGTCGCAGTAGTTTCCCATCTTGATTGTTGCAAAAAATCTCCAGCCGTACTTTGGAAGTCCCTTTGAGTATGAAGGGCTTTACGATGGGTAGAGACAGCTCGAAAAGTTCGGCACTACCGAAGTATTGAGGGTGACAATCTGCGTCCGTTCGACCACGCACGACACACACTCTCCTTCGAATTGAGGAGGTCACCATAGACCCCGCAAGCATCTTCAGCCCAGCTGAATACGGACTCTGTACCATCAGCTCTTTTCGCCACTACAAACCTTTGATAATGAGGACATACAGGGGTCATCGTGAGAGCTGGATCACTCTCTATATAGGCCAACATGCAAAATGCCGACTAGAACATCCTACACATATATTCTCACAGCTCAGTTTGGGACTCAAGCATGATCGACTTCAGTATCCTCTGCATCCCGCCCCTCAGCGGCTCTGACAGTATCGTCCAACGCTCGAGTTTCCATCTTGTCCATTTGTTCGTCGTCTTCTGTCGGCACAAGTACCTATGAACCAAGGTGCTACCGGCACAGCAACGGTGTTCTCTTCACCTCTCTATGGTCACTGCAATTCACGCCTTTGCTATAGTTTGCTTCACAATCAAGCATCGAGCGGTGTTTGACATGGATGTAGTTGGCACCTGGGCGATCATGGGACCTACTTCGGCGTTTGTGTTCTTAATATCGAGATGGCCGAACTTGCTGAGGAAGCCCAAAGCTAAGCCTATCGTTCAGGTCTGAGGCCTTTGAGTATGAATTGGTACTACCTGCTCTACTTTTAACAGCTGGCGCTAATATGACGTTTTCTACTCATGCATCGATGCAGACACTAATTTCAAACTGAGTGCTGTTGCTTAAGGACTAGCCTTCCCTTAAAAAGCTTCAACTGTACCTGTTGTGCTTCTAGTCACACCAACTGATTCGGAGCCATTCGGAACTCACGCTGGCTAACATGAGCATTTTCTTTGACGAATCGTACGAGCGCGTTATTGTATAGCTGGGCTTGTTAGTTACCATTGCAGGAACTCTCGGTGTTCTTGCTAACGGTGCGGAGGATGCAGACAAGACGCCTCTGAAAGTTGGAGAAGATGCAAATTTTCGAACACTTCAGCATCAGTTCCGTCTTTGTGAGCGTCGACACGGTCGTCTACCAGATGCAGCTGCAGAAACGTTTCGAATGCGACGCATGCGCCCCAGGAAGACCAACTGCCTCGAATTGACACAAGTCATCTTTGCGTCCGGCAGTCCGCTCATCCACACTATTGCTGTCATCTGCAATGAAATCCATTCTGCCCATTCGCCCATTCTGCCCCTGGGCGAGATGCCGCATACAGCAGCTATCTCTTGAGACTTATGCGGGAAGGGAAAGCCAAGATACGGAAGAGCTAGTATCTCGGACCAAATACTTCCCAGTCATGGCAGTAATGGCGAGGGACGACCGACATGAGGCCTTAACGACGACGATAAAGCTGCACCGTGCATCACAGACGTCACTGGCTAACGACGACAGATATCCTGAGAGCTGAACTCAGATGAGTCCATTTTATATGGAAGAGAAATGCTGTCTCGATGAACATATGAGTCCTACGGCGACCTCAGTGCTGCTAGAAATTTTGAGGCTTTCTTATGCAAACAACGACATATTCGATTGCCGCAAGGATGAAGTACGACACAGGACGATCGTAACCAGCTCCCAGGTAGTAGAAAGAGCTGATTGCAGCCCTAACAAAGTTAGAATCTATCAAACACAGAACATATCCAGGGCGGATGTGCAGATCTCTGCAAATATTCCATTTGGTCGAATCACTTTCATTTTGTCATTCAGTCGGCGTACTTGACATTGCAACACGCCAGCTTACAAGTTCTTCAGACCAGATGTTTTTTTCCAGATGCGAATTCTTGTACGCGTAAGCTTTGTAATTGACAGCAGGACCAGCAGTCAGGTTGGATCCTCCAAGAGCTGAACTCTCGGCCGTGATTCGCTTGCTCATCTGGTTACCTATAGTATATACCTGATAATTGGATGGGCTTGAGTCATCTATAAGCGATAAGAGCGAAAGCCTGGTGGCATACCGCGCGCAGATATTCGATGCTGTGGACTTATTTTACCCCTGGACATATTTGCGCATGTCAAATTCGTCTTGGCGATGCGGCTGAAAGCCCAAAAGCATCGAAGGCCCGATTGCAGCGGGCTGTCGGCGAGCCTCACTAGTTAATTAGTGCGTGCTCTCGTTTGCGTGCTGCGCGTTGTGGATCCAGCAAAGAGCCAGACCGCAGCTGACTGTGATTGTCAATTAGTGACGTCGCGAAGCTCGGTATCTCGAGGAATCCACAAATTGTGTTTTGGGCAGCTGCATGTTTCAATGCTATGAACATGCAATATGAAAGGGGCGTGCCATGTCGTGCAGCAAGATAATTGCGTGGCTGGGCTGCAGACAGTACAGACTCCAGCCTCACGTCACACATGATCCCATGTGGCTAGTGACGGTGTACTTTAGCCCTCCTGAGGACCTTTTTGTGCAGGGTCCTGTCATACCATACGATCGAAAAAGAACATCGCCATCATGTGAGATCATGGTGCTGCAGCGAGCAGGCCTGCCTTCCCCGTGGCCCGCGGCAGTTCTTGGAAATACCAGGCTTGGCGCGCGGATATCGGAAGGAAGTGCAGACGATCTTCCTGCATATGCAACCGGGCTGGAGGTCACAACTGGGGAGGTTGGATGACGCTGATGTCAATTTGGTATTCCTTTGATGATGGGGCAGGGGGAGGCTGATAAGACATCATAAGAGTCTCAAATACGGTGAGCGAGGCTGGTGACGGGCCCAGGCTGTGAGTAATAGTCCTAGTTTGTTCTCCAGCTTGCAGTGGAGCGCCGCGCCTTTGCCAAAAGGGATGCGCGAGAAAAGTGATGCGCTGAGCGAGAAAAGTGATGCGCTGAGCGTCGAAATCAAGCTTTCCAGACCTATAGTTCGTGTGGCATGTCTAGGCAATAAACGAGACTGCCGCTTTCCCTAGCCCCATCCACGATGAGCCTATTGAGCGTTTGCCTCTGCGCCCGCCGTCATCCGCTGTTGACGAAGGTATACTGTGGTCTTCCAAAGAAGCATAATTATTGCAGCCGTCAGAGAGTTGACAACAAAGGTTCTAGATAACGGCGAGAGGAGAAAGACAAATTGACAATGTCCGACGCGTGGGTCTCAATCAAGCTTTAAATGTGTCTACAGATCTGCGTTACCGTAATTAGCAGCCCGTGCGAGCTCGTTCTGTCTCTATTCGCTGTCGCTCGATCTGACGATGCCGCATGTAGGTGGGCGTTCCCTCACGGTGGTCCCGTCAAGCAGGCAGAGCTTCCCGGTCTTCAGAATGCGCGTTTCAGTAGGTACACGCGTACGCCTCAATGGCTGTCGCGAGTGGCCGTGGCCGTGGTGAGCGCTTGCTGTCATGACGTTGTTCACGGGATGGTGGAGCCGCCGATGTCTTCCGTCGCTTCCACTCAACAAACATGCGACGGCCTAAGCAGGCGCCATGCGTCACTTGCTGTGGGCGATACTGCTAGCTCGCCTGCTTCACTACTAAACTTTCCCTTTTCTCTCCCCGTCCGCTCGCTCTAGATTTAAAACAGTCCTGTCGTTTGTGCTGTGCCCGTTTGCCTTGCTCGGTTTTTTAGCAGTTGTTATTGACGGCACCTGTTTGCGCACATTCTAATTCACAGCCATAATGGTGCGCTCGCTATTGCCCACGAGCAGCATTGTCCTACCGCTGCTCTCGCTATCACAACACGCCCTCGCTCAATCGTTATCGCTGTCGCCGTCAGGGAGCGCCCCCGATGGCGCCTCAGAGTATCTCGATGCCTCGTTCGCCGGGTTTGGCATTGAGCCCTCGAACCTGTTCTCATTCACTGGAGGCAACACGCCCAACCAGCTGTCGATAAAGCTCCTCCAGAACCTCGCAGACTACTCGGGCGCGCCGCCACACATTCGGTTAGGAGGCAACACGCAAGACTACATGCTCTATGAGTCAGATTACACAGACATTGCTTGGAAGAAGAACCCCAGCTCAACGGCGCAGGGCAACATCGCCGCCGACTCGATGATCATCGGGCCAGGATACTTCCAGGCATTGAACCGCTTCCCCAAGGACACACCGGTTACGTTTGGCCTCAACTTGGCCTACATGGAGGATGATTGGGAGGACCGCATCGTGGCTGCCGCCCAGGGTGCTGTCTCAGGCATGACCAATGTCAAGCTGTACTCGTTCGAGGTTGGCAACGAGCCCGATCTGTGGTTGCAGAACACCTTCCGTACCGCGCCCTGGGATGGAAAGCTATACACAACACAGTTTCTCGACCGTGCCGAGGCCGTCTACACCCGTGTGCTGCAGCCAGCGGGTCTACCTTCGTCCTTCTTCGAGCCCCCTGCGACTGCATCCACCATCGGCACCACCTTCGAGATCTCACAACTGGTGAGCGATGGCATGATGGAGGGTAGGAACGGAGACAACTACGTGACTGTATGGAACCAGCACGATTACTTCTATTGTAAGTCGCCACCACCTTAAACTGTGGTACGGAGCTGCACTAACAGCTGGCAGTCATTGGCGTCACGCCTACACCTATTACACTTAATGACCTTATGCAATTCGACCAAACCAATACCCAATTCGCATACTGGGAGAAACAGATCAAGATTGGCCTAAAGACTGGCCTGCCCTACGTCCTCCGTGAGATGAGTTCCATTGGACCCATCGGTATGCCTGGCGTCTCTGACGCATTCGGTGCATCTCTCTGGACCCTCAACTTCTTCCTATACGCCGCCTCCCTCGACATTGCTTCCGTGCAGATGCATATGACTGATAACTCCAACGCAAGCGCCTGGCAACCGATAGAGTTGTACGGTCGCGCTCCATTCGTACGAACACTCTACTATGCCCATGCCGCCATGGCACAGATCGTCGGTAACGGTAACGGTACCACTCAGATTTCCAGCATGAGCACCAGCAACGTCGGCTCTTCGTACGACGGTCGTATCCGCGCATACTCCATGTACGCTCATGACAGCCTGCAGGCTGTGATCATGCTCAACGGCAAGCAAGCCAACGAGTCGCAGTCCAACAAGGGCAGCTTCACCTTCAACGTCAACTTCGGCTCATCCAATGCCAACAAGGACGTCTACCTCTCCTACCTGACCGCTGATGGTGCTGACTCCCAGACTGGTGCCACCTGGAACGGCATATCCTATTCCGACACCACTGGCGAGGCAAGCATCGTCGACACCACACTCCACACAGTCACCCTCGATAGCTCCGGCAAAGCTGCAATCCCTGTTCGTGATTCGCAAGCCGTTGTTGCCAACATTGGGTGGCAGATCGGGAGCACAGCGGTCCTGAAGAGTGACGGCAGCACTGCTAGGAAGAGTAACGCTAGTCCTCCCACCACGCCCACCATCTTCACCGCCGTAGCGGCCATGATCGCCACCACCTTTGTTCTCCTAGTCTCCAGCGCCTAAACCTAGACTCTTAATACGAGATCGCCATTTTCCTTTTGTCATTGCATAACTGGGTACAGGCTATCAAGCATTTGACGGCGTTACATTGGGAGCATGTTCTGCATTTAGTTAATTGCTAGACTCCAGTTGGAGCCGCTCACGACAAAACTTTTCATTCCTGTTCGGTATCTGGATATTCGCCTATGGCGGAATCGGGTAGCGGCGTACATAAGTGTACATGCATACATGAATCACACCATGTTAAAACTTCAAGTTAAGTTCGCACCTTCCTCGCAGAAGCGCCTGGTGACATTGGACAAATTAGAGAGGAAGAGACACTCATGGCAGCTCCCTATGCTCCGGCTTCATACACACCAGCTCGTACTCAATCTTGTCCTGCAGCCTGTTCATCTCGAAATTGTGCTCATACAATGCAACATCCTCGCCACTCTTGCTCTGTCCCCTCAATGCCGCCGCAAGCGCCTCGAAGAAATTCGGAAGAAGAGCCTCCGTATCCCTCTCAATCTGTGCATTGAAGATATCGCCTCGGCCCTTACTACACAACCGCTTGCGTACATCCTTGACAAACTCCACGCGCACAGCCCCTCCCCGTACAATAGCCCTTCGTGCGTCTTGATCCCGCTCAACCCACTCCCTCACAATGCTCGCATGCATATTCGTATGAATTGATGTAGGTGGATGCCCCACAGCTGCACGTTCAGGCAGCCCAGTGTCCGAGCGCTCAAAGCGTCCACGGATGCCGAATACATTTACCAGATGCTTTGTCCGCGCCTTCCGCACCGCCGTGGCGATCTCAGGCGTGATGGCTTGCGAATCCAGACTCATAGCGTCGCAGAAGGGTTGTGCACAGCTGGGTACGCCACAGCGTAGTACCGAGGCGCCGAAAGGGTTTGCAAAGGGAATGAGTGTGTTGTGGGATTCTGCTTGAGTGGGATTGATGAGAGCGGCGTTGTGCTGGGCGAATATCGAGAGTAGGATGTGCTGGTGGGAGGAGACGGGGACCGAGAGCTTCGGGTCCAAGACGGCGGGGGCGAGGGGCTCGGAGTGTGTTGTAAGGTTGAAGAATGTTTGCGCTGTGCAGTGGCCGCGCTGGGTGAAGAGAAGCCAGAAGAGGAGAATCTGAATCTTGTGCATGATGGCCTTGTTGGTCACGCTGGAGGACACCTCTGCAAGGCAGATGGATAGGCGTTGCTTGAAGATGTCGAGGTCATCGAGTATGGAAGCTTCGCCGTGATCCACGGGTACCAGATCACCGTTGAAGTCGTAGTAGATGACCTTAAGGTACTTTTGCTTCCAGTGCTCACGGTCGGCAAATGTGTCTCCAGACCCACGATTTAGGGCAATCTGGAGATCTGCAAGATACTTGGCAGCAATCGAGTGCAGCAGCTTCGCGGACTGTAACCGGCTGACATTGTCAATTGAGAACGCCCCTGTGTGTTGACCAAGGGTCAGAAGGCTCTTGAAGCCCGCCACTGGGTAGGTCACAGCGAAGCTTGCAAGACCATTGGTCTCAAAGTCTTTCGCTGCCCAAAGCAATGCCTGTGGGAACCTGACCCATTCTCCGGTCTCATTGAACGTCTCGCGTGTGCGTGTGTTCTGGATCAGCTGATCGAGCATCCACCGAAACGTTCCAAGGCGTTGTCTAGCCTCATGCTGCTCATCTACAGGAATCTGCGAGGTATTCATACCAGCTCCTGCCCACGACTTCATTTGCATGACGTTTTGAAGTATGGACATGAACAGCTGGGCCACTCCTGCAGCGCCAGTAGCCAGACGTGCAGTCAAAGCTGAGTAGAGCTGGTCGTTGATGTACTTTTTGTTGCTTCCGTTGTATTGGACAGCTGGGATGACAGCCGTAAGTCGTTCTTTGTAGATGGACATGCCTCCAGGTCCGAGAAGTGCACACTGGAAGCACACGTTTTGGCTCGAGATCAGATCAACGTTGTTCAAGGATGCTCCTGCAGCGAGAGGGAAGTTGAGGGCAAAGTCGCTTGTGTTATAATCCGTGTGCTCAGGGTCAGTCTCCTTGAAACAGATCGACATGATCTCTTGGTTACCGCAGCATACAAGGCAGTAGCCCTTACACGATGGCGCTTCCAGATCCAATTTAGCCATATCAATCGTAGCACTTGAGTCAACCTCTTCGGCACGCCGAGCTCTGTTGCTTCTACGACCTATAATTTCTGCGTTGTAATTGGCAGCCTCAGTAGATGCCAGTGACCTCAGTGCTGCATCCACGAGTTGGTTGCGTTTCTTCAGTGCCTGTTCGGCTGCTGACCCTGCAAAATCGGCAATTGTTTTTCGGTAGTCTCGTCGGTTCGCCGCATGTGCGGCACGGAGTTGCTGCTGAAGCTCCTCGCGCTGTTCGTCACTTGCCGCGGTATCTGCCATCTGGACGATAATGGCTGCGCCTCCATTTCGGTCCTCTAATTTAGGTGCCACCTGTTCGACTTTCTGTGCTCGAACGAATGTACGAAGCTCTGGGATGCGCTGTCGGGTCTTGCAAGCAATGGCAAGAGCATCGAAAGCCTCGTCGGCCAGAAGATTGATCGCATCTGAATCTGAGAGTAATTTAGATGCGAGCAGAGCATCAAGGTCGACGTTTACCGGGCCGTAATGTTGCGCCTCCCATGCTGAACCAAGGCTGATACTTCCTGTGCTTGCTAATCGTGTCTCTGATCGGGCGACCTTGATGTGGCTCTTTTGGCAATGGGTGAAGAAGTCGGTTTCATCTCTGAAAACTGTCAGGTCGGTCCAGCTGGCCAGATCTCTTGCCGCTGTAGATCCGCCCAGCTCCGCAAAACATCCCTTTCCTGCGACGACGTAGATCTTGCCTGTCTGCACATCCTTGAATAAGATCAAGGTGTCATGAGAGCTGGCATAGAAGGATATGCCAATACTGATGTTCGCTGTTCCGGGAGTACTACCGCGCGAGCCGGTTATGAGGAACACAAGTGGCACATTGAGAATCCCGGCGTCGTAAGCAAGGTCCGCCAGTTGATGGACATTGTCATCATAGATCTCTCCATCCGTGAGCAAGAACCACACGTCCGATTTTCTGATGGCACTCAGAGCTGCAGAGTTCGCAAGGATCTCGCTAGGGTACGTTCCGCCATGATTCGAACGCCAGTTTACAGAGTCAAATAGCGTAGTTGGGTTGTCGCACTTCGTACCCCACAGAGAAATTGCGTCCGTTGCGCTGGTGTGTCTTCCTTGGAAGGCGTCGACGAATGCACGCTCTTGGCGGAGTATACCACCTGTTGTAGATCCAGAGTCATCGACGGCAAAGTACTTGCGCCCCTCTAGAAATGCCGTGTATTCAGTCTTGTCCTCCTCGAAACTCGAAGGGACGATCTTCCAGGAGGCCATATCGAGCTTCGCTGCTCAGGTTCTGAGAGTTGCCACGAACTTAGTTGTTCAAAGGTGAAGATTCACAGAAAGAAGTTGGAAACAAGGAAGGTAGATAAAGAATTGATGCTGGCTCCGGGATTGTCTGACAATCGTGAAATGGAAGGGCCGGCCAGAGATTGCCAACAACGACTGCTGCGATGAGATTGAGGAAGAAGCCACAAGATCACAGCCTTACTTATGCATCTATTCGATTAGCATGACTGTTTGATACAGCCACGACGCGATCTGCGAATGAGGCCTAAAGGACGCATCGGTCGCCAGGCATCAGCCGAACGCCTTTCCCATCCTGGCTAGACTGGAGAGTTGCCTCCATTCGTTGTGTACATATCGAGCGATCATTTTCGTACAGGGACGAGAAAGGGGCGAGATGACACGGCACTCTGTTCTCGTCATGGTGTTACTGGAGTCAAGAAAGAAGGGCGGATGAAGTGAGAGGCTGAACGAGCGTTAGTGACTGAATGCAGTTAGGCTGGCCCGTGTCGTGGCGCCCTTTCGATAGTCACCTCCGTCACTCGTCTTGTCATCTCGGACCTGTGACTCAAGTCCATCGCCTTACCGGGTTATGGAGTGCCCGTGGTATATGAGACTCCAGGTCACTATGCTCAGCCGGCGCCTCACAGCCTCGGATGTGTTTTCGCAACACGGTATCACCACACAAAGAGATATGCCAGGGAAAAGTGCTGCACTCGCCCGTTTCTCAACACGAAATTCTTTGCGAACATACTGAATCAATCTCATGGAAACACCACATCAATGGTCGCCAAAGAAATTTTCAGCACGTTTCACCACACCTTGCCTGCTGAAAAAACTGTCATAGGTAAAAGCATCACGCTAGCAGTCGATGCCGATGTTAGCAATGCGGCTTCGTATATCAATACACGGGATCTTCGAGAGCCAGACCGAGGACAACATGACTGGTACAAGCAGCATGTGCTCCTACAACAGCACCAGCAGCGAATTACGGCGCTCCCACCCGGAAACTTCGTTGCACTCTTCGCGCAGTGCACAGAGTCGAGATGATATATATACGCTTGTCGTACCGGGGAATTATTGCAGAAATGCGAGCAGAGATGTTCTCAGATTGGCTGCAGCAGGTCCCACACCATAAAGAATCGACATCAACCGCATCTGTAAGCCAGGACTCAACATCCGCCTCGATTCAAAGTGAAGATTCTCACACCACGAGCATCGCAACACCATCTACGCCAAATTCAAGATTCAGTTTCAAACTCATTTCTAAGTCGCAAGAGATCTGTACACCTGCTCAGCACACTGAGCCACAATTCTCTTCGACAGGGGTTACCAAGGGCGTCTGCTTTTTTTCAAAATGCTGATGGCCTCGCGATACCGACTACAGATTCAAGCAAAGCAGTAGGTACGCAGCAGCCACTTGAAAGACCTCCAGTACCTGCCAATCTGCTTCAGATGTATTGTTCAGTATTGAGCCTGCAGCGACCAAGCCGGCGGCAAGCGAAGGGCCTCGGCCATACCTCAGCATCTCAAACGTCGACCACCTCAATACTTACAAAAGCGGGTCCTGGTCGCCATCAGCAGTAAATGGACGCTGTCACAGAAAACAATGGCCAGGTATACCCCCCACTAACAGCAGTACCAGTCAGGAAAGGCTGGGTGCGGAGAATGGCACAAGTGTTCGCAGAGCGCGGGGAGGAGAATCAAAACCAGAGAAGATCGTTCAACGTGCTCTAGTAAGCTAGGTACTAAAATATCCTGCTACTAGTTCCACTCGCTAGACATGCGATGCTAGCAGGAGGCGACATATCATCACTGCTAGTCTTTATTGACTCTCGTACTACTACAACAATGTCGTGCTCGCTTCGTCACTTCGTTATGATCATCAACAGCACTTTTACTTGAGAACCACATGTTTCCATCTCTCAGAGTCGGTGGAAGCTACGCTTTACACTTCCTGGCCGCATGTCAACAAGTGTCTCTCGCCATCAGCGGGTACCGTCCATGGTAGCTCGATACCTCCCAAGCTTCTCGTAGTCAGCATGGTGGCGTTGGCAGGGCTCTTAGGGATGATCTCATGACCCTCTGTAGCAAGTATTGAAAGCACGTGGGCAGCGGCTTTTGCGTTGATGGTGAGCGTCTGTGGGTTCGGGTTGTCGATTGTGTCACAGGCCTGGTGGTAGCACGGATCCTGCTCGACGCCAGTTCCGGTGTGCAGACCTCCCACAGGCTTTCCGATGTTCATGAATGACTGGTAATCACTGCCACCAGTGAAACGAGCAGCGGTGACGTTGATACCCTTCTTGGTGAAGTCCTCAACAAACATCTTCTCGATTGCGTCAGAGCCCGGGGCACCGGTGAGATTGAAGCTACTGCCATCACCATCAAAGACACCAAAGTAACCGCGAGAGACCATGTCAAAGTTGAGATATGTGAGGATGTTGTTCCTCTCTGTCACGTTGAGGTTCTGGGTGTAATATTTCGATCCCAGAAGGCCATTTTCTGAGTGAGATTAGCCCTGCAGTAGTGCATTTTGATTGGGGAACTTGCCTTCAGCTCCCCACCATCCGAATCGGACTTTGTTCTTGACTCCGAACTCCTCAAGAGCTCTTGCGATTTCAAGAATCAGGGTTGTGCCGGAACCATCGTCATTAATGCCTGCACCTGCCTGGACACTGTCCAGATGAGCGCCTAGCATGATAACATTGTTGGGATCACCGCCCTTGGTCTCGGTGAATACGTTTTGTGTGATTCTGGTCTCAACGGTCTGAGTCTGCTGGAAATAAGCCTCGACCGCTTCACCGGCATTGAGGCGAGCTACAAGGGCCTCGCCATCGACCTTGTTGATGTATCCAGCAGGACGGTATGCTTCCGGATTCGGTGCTGAGAGGGTACCACCAGTTACATTGGTGGTGACATCGCTGTAAATGATGACAGCAGAAGCTCCAGCAGCAACAGCAGGCTTGACGCGACCCGCAAGAGTGGTGCCGTCCGGGCAAGTTCCGCGCTGTACAAGTACGATTTTGCCTTCGACGTCGAGATTGTCATAAGATTCGTTGTTGCATCCCTCTGGTCCGGAAGCTCCAAGAACGAGAGGCAGTGTCAAACCCTCCGGGGTGGTTGAAGGTGAGTAGGAGAGGCCAATCACATGGTATGATGTGTTGCTAACGCTGAATTGGATGGAGTCGATGCGGTTAAACAAGGCTGGGAAGTCCTGGACCCATGTGTGGAAGTGCTTGTTCTTCTCTGTCTTCGAAAGGATGTACTTGACGCTGGCAGCGTATCCGGAAAGACCGAAAGCGCGGTTGCCGTTGTTCGCCTTAGCAATAGAGTCGAGAGCCTCGAGATTGCTCATAAGTCTGTTTCGATGTTAGAAGGCTGGCCTTCGACATTGATACCCTGAATCCTACTTCTTGGTTGTGATCTTCTCTTGGAGCTTCTTAGACGAGACCAGTCCTCTCCGGTCGTCCACCGATGCTGCAAGCGCCTGCGCCGTGCAGACCATCAGTAGCAAAGCATTAAACTTCATCTTGAAAGTGCGATTAGGGCTCTTTGTTGTTCAGTGGGGCTCGAGAACGAACCGTTGATGCGGGAGGCAGCACTTGATATACCCACGACCGGGTGGCTGGCAAGGGTGCACGGGCACGGGACCTTCCCATTCCACTGTTATCGGAGCATTCGACGCTTCTTCGCGGTCCCTGTGTCCAGAGAGGCAGTTACCAAGACTGCAGATCGCCGGTGCCAAGAGCGGAGATTGACACCTTCCCAAGTCGTGAAAGCGCTCTCCTTGGCAACTGCTGCTCGTCATTGTCACAACATCAGTGGAATAAACAGTTGTAGGATTGAGCAGATTTGTCGGAACATAGTATGTCTCTTCTCGAGATGGGAAAAAATCATAGCGAGTAATTCAGGCAGACGCATCAGAAAGCAAAATCGGCAATCGGGGACCCGATCTAAGCATCACACAAAGTCTATTTCGAGGGACTGCCGGTGCCATAGTAGTCAGCGTATTAAGCTGAGCCGAACCTGGGGTTTCTCCATCACTTTCACGATCGAAAGCGAATGCCAGGTTGAACATCATGAGCTCCCCCTCCTCTTCTTCGCCTTTATCCCCACTCTCACTGTCATTGGTCGTTACCATCCATCATGATGGGACCTTGGAAATTCCCACCCAGACGCTGTGTGTAGACCTCGATCCAGTCATTAGACTCGTCCTTTGTAGTTTGGACCCGGCTCCTGCTTTGCGATGAGAATCGTGTCCTTCAGCAGTTCGAAAACGGTTTCCATATCTCCTAAAGTCATGGAGCCGACATCGGCGAGGTCCTGTTAGTGATCCCTCAGGAACGACCGAATGATGTTGTTGCATTGTTCCTCCGACTTGAACGCGGTAGGCATCTTCTCGGCGAAACGCAGCATTATCGCGGCGTATAGGATCATGAAATCCGATTTTGATCGTGCAGACGCCATCGTTATCTGTGCTTGTTGACCGAGGAAGAATAGTGGTGGGATATGGTCGTGGAGCGATGAGATATCTCCGTTGGTTTCCACTTGTCTTGAGCCACACGGACTACGGTTGACGTCGAATACAATTGTCGCGAGTCTCTTCAACCTGAAGTCCAAGACGATGGCTACAAGTAGTAGCTGAGAGGCAGAACAGCTTCTCCCAGGATGTCAGATGTGATGCAGCATCGTCGCATCACCACCTTCAGTGTGAATCTTAACGGTCGGAGGCCTGAAAAGATGAGTGTAGACGACACCTAGTCCGTAGTTCCCGTTGTCCGGGATGTCCTTGAGCATCTTTCTTGTCTTGCCGAAGTGTGTCTTGCTCTCTTTCTGTCTTGCGGCGAAAAGTTCGTTGTCTTCCGCGGAGATCTTCATCAAGATCTGGAGGTCAACGTTTGTCTTGTAAGACAGAAAGTAGTGTGATTCGGGCGAGATGCGCTTCTCGAGGAGGTTGCTCTGGATCTCGGAGGAGGTCATACCGCTGCTGAGAGATCCTTCCAGGCTATACTTGTTGAGGAACGCGCTTCGCGCGCTCTGCCCTTGTGACGGAGAGAGCTTGACCTGAGGGCTCAGATCGTTGTACTCGTCGATCCCCCTCAGCCAGACTATCATGCGAAGTGCTTTGATAAGTACGGCAACGAGACCAAGTGCGAAGATGACAGTGCGTTGATGGCCACGTCCACTACTGTTCGATTTGACTCAGATACGTACAGAGCACGAAGATAAGGATGACAAGGAGGACTGGAAGAGTATGTTGCACCCGCCCCTATCAAACTAGCGCCAGCGCTAATACTTCACAGAGAAGGAAGAAGAACGCAAGAGCAAGTAGTGCCGTCTTTCATTTGCATTCCTCGATACTGACTCAACTGACAGAGAAGGAGGAAGCCGACCGCAAGTACAAGGAAGAACAATACAAGAAGAGTCGGTTCCTAGCCGCCTCCAACTTCGACATATCTACTGAAAAATGCGACAGAGAAGGAGGAAGAGGAGCGAAGTACGTCGCAACGTTTACCTCCAGCCTTCAATAAGCACTCAACTAATGCTCAGAACAGAGAAACACGAGGAGGAGCGCAAGAAGCAAGAAGACATTATGCTTACTTGATCCCATCGAGGACTGCAACCAAACTCCTTACTAACTTTATCGTAGAGCACAAACCTGTTCCTAAGCCTCACCCTCACCCTCACTCTGAGTCTCCCAAGAAAGAGGGTAGGTCATTCGTAGCTCAGCACCCACGCTCATTTACTGATACGCTCAGAATATAAACCCACTCCTCAACCCCAGCCTCACCCAGCGCCCCCGAAAGATGAGAAGGACAGTTACAAAGCATCGATCCACCTGCCTAAGAAGGAGGAGACCCCTGCCCCAGAACCGAAGCCGGAGTGGAAGAAGTACGTTTTCGATGAGTAGATCACCTTGAAGTGTGAGGGCGGTCACATTATGAACACTGGCAAGGCTTCCTAAGCTGGCTCGTTTCGATTCCTTTGAGCGCTGTTCGCTTTGTCAGATTGGACATATCTCGCCCACAGTGGTTCGAGACGTGAGACTACCCGGCTTGCATGTGGCCGAGGTAATGCTAGGCTGAGCTTGGCTACATACGCATTGGCCTGATGGCCTTTGCACTTACTGAAGTCCCTTTTTGACAGTAACGTAATACACGAGTATCCCACATGAGCTCCTCTTCTACCTCGAGACACTGCGGTGAGGCGCATGATGTTGAAGGCACGTTTCTGAAAAATCTCAGTACAGCATCCATAAAGGCCATTGTTTCGAATTTGAATGCGAGGGCAAGACGAGGAGCCAGCGGACCTGGCATTGTGAGGCAGAAATTGACCTCTGTGGAAGCAGTCAGGGCAGATTTACCTGGAGGCTACGCTAACAATATCTCTGGCACCCAGCTACCAAGCTTTATTTGAACGCGGAGGGAGCGGTGAAGGGGCCATGAATTTTCTGCTACAATCAGAGCTACTGCCTCTCGAGTTTCGTCTTCGGTCGTTCATGCAAGGCTAGAATGACATGTACGCTCCAAATGGCATCAAACCCTTCTATGGCTTGCCAACCCAGAGGTAAGTAGACAATTGGTGAGAGAGCTTGCGTGCATCACTGACAATGCAAACCTCAAGTGAGACTCCAACGAATTTGCTGTGAACTCGAAGCCATCAAGCAGAGTGCACGCTAGCTCTGAGCTAAGTACGATCCAGTAACGCGCGGACTCGCCCAAGCAGATACAACCTGGGCAGCTATGTCAGTATCATACGCGCATCGACCTTTACCCCCGCACCTTCACTCACAATACAGCGAGCGCACTGGGCAGAACCCTCACCGTCTACCCTCATACCGATCTACACCAATCTGCCGTGTATCTTGTCATCCTGTCTCCGACTTCACAGCTTGCAGTCTACGAGGTCCGTTTCAGCTCGAATGGAGCTATGTTCAACACAGACCCCTTTCTTTCGCCAGGATCGCATTCGAAAACAGCTCTCCCTCTTGCCGTATCATGATCACGCCGTCTTGATCTGACAACCTTTTAACCGATTCCAAGACCGTCGACTGACGACGAATGAAGACCTTGCGAGCGTAGCCACTTTCTAGTGCATAGAGTTCAGATTCGGCTATTACACGATCCATCCAGCTCCTAGATGCAAGACCCCTCAGTCTTCGCAGCTGCTAAATCCTCCCTGCCGGGTGAGCTCTTTAACGGATATTTAGAAGTCTCCAAGACACGGACCACCAACGACCCAGCCATTGAGACCTCCGACGAGGAAGATCATCCGCGAGTGCCGGTACCTCTCTTCAACGTCAAGCGCGTGAAGCCGGCGTGTGCGTTTGAGGACTATTCGCAGCGGCAGAGGAACTTTGCTATGCCTGCCCCGCCACCCTCGCACTGGTATCGAACACTTCCATCTTATTGCCCACATGCCAGACTCATCAATTAGCAGAAGCATGATGGTGCATGGGTCTGTTCTTGTACTGCTGCTCGATGGTCGGAATCGAACGGGCGCAACGGCCTCGGTTCGTGGCACGGTCCATCACAGACAAGTGCGGACCTCCCAAAGTCTCTGCAATACTGCTCCAGAACGTCCACACAACTCGGGCGCTTCATTCGGCCACTGATTCGCCAAAAAAATCGACGTTGGCAGGATTCGAACCTACGCTCCCGAAGGAACAAGATTTCTAGTCTTGCGCGATAACCACTCCGCCACAACGCCGAAGATCACTAGCTAGTTAGTGCTGATGACGATGGAAGGTTTCACAGACGGGATCATTATGTTCCAGATCGCTGGACACTGGGCAAAGCCAACAATGCCGCGCTCCTCATGAGCGTTGCCATGAGATCCGACGAGGACGGTGGGACAGCTCGAACCTACGCAAACCTCGACGAGCTCAACGTCATTGTTTAAAGATTCCTGTCAGCCAACTGTGCCGACATTTTCGACCCTAACGTCGTCGCGATGGGGGATCTGAGAGAACTCGTCGACACAATCTCCGAGGCTTGCACGATTGGTGTCTCCGCAAAAGGCCACTATACATTGAAGCAGAGGAAGCAAGGCCATGCTAGCGATGTAAATACAAAACCAATGGATCACGCCTGGACAGAGACCTTCTCACAGGCGCTCCTGCCAGACCTTCGAGCTCCCATTGTCATCAATCTTGACGACTCGGACAGCGAGGACACCAGCGAAGACGAAGATCACGAGGTTCAGACCGTGGACGACCCTGCTGCCAATACACCAATAGAGCAGCAGCAGAAGATACCATCTACATGCGCCGTCAAGGACTGCAAGAAGCCACCTAAAGAATTTGATCACTGCCGGAAGCGTCTGAAAAAGGGCGCCAAGCTGCTGTAGATCCCCAAGGACCCAGCGTACCTGGAGCATCTAGAATGGCTGAAAGGTCAAACGTCAGATGAGAAGGTAGAGACCTATCTGATCGACACAGAACATATCAACACCTTCGAGCACGTAATGCTAGTGGCCTGGCACGTGTCTGTCCGCAACTTGGCGGACAATGATGAAGAACTGCACGCCTTTGTCCATTACGATGAACACTCGGTCGACTCAATGTTTGGGAGTCTCGCCGCACTTGATCTCCTTACCGTGAAAATCGTAACACTCTAGAGACTGTGTTAATGTGGAGCAGATTGGAGCAAGTGATGGACAACGTACTGTCGTGGACTGGTGGCTTCTCATCTGGAACAGGCTTCTTCTCGCACTCGATCTCCTTGCCATGGTAATCATAGCATTTCTTGGGGTCTTGCGGAGGCTCTGTACCATGAGTCAGTGGGAGTTGCATGGATAAGAAGTGGTTGACCTACCATGCTCTGGCGCCTCATCTTTGGGTGATTCCTCAGGCTCTGCAATGAGATCAGCTAAACCTCCCTTGATAGCATCGTTTTGAACAGAGTCATACTCTTGTCAGGCTGCTTCTCGCATGCCTTTTCCTTGCCATACTCAGTAAAGCACTTGGGAGGGTATTCCAGATCCTTGACCTTCGGTTCTGTGGGCTCTGCACCATACGTTAGCGGTGGTAATGTGGACCGACCAGGAGTTGATGGCATACTGTGTTCTGGCAGGTCGTGTTTGGGAGGCTCCTCGGGCTCTGTGATGAAGTCAGCGATGAGTCTCTCGAGATCATAAACGTCAGTGGACATACTCTTGTCGGGCTTCTTCTCGGGCTATTTCTCACAGGGTTTCCCCTTGCCGGCATGGTCGTAGCAGTGTGGGGTGTAAGGCTCAGGAGTCTTGTGCTCGTTGGTGGTCTGGACATCCTGCTGGCGGGCCTGGATGGGCGTCGCTGCAACACTGAAGATCAGGATGGCGACAACGGCAGCCTGAGTGAGATGCATGTTGTCGGTCGGTGCTGGCGCTGTGTAGCAATTGAAGTGTTATACGAGAGAAATTAGAAAGCGATCGATGTTGCAACGACCGACTGAGGAAGTTGACAAGCTTGTCTCGTGCGATGCTGACTTCGTGGAGGCACTCTCTCTCCTCTTTATACAGGAGCCCGCTTGAAGCCTTCCGTGTGTTGCTACTCTTCCATCCAACCCAGTCAGGCCGCCTGCGCGGATGTGTTTCGGCATTGGAAGCTGGATTTCCCTAGAAGTACCCTAGAGGCTAGAGCCTTGGGGCGCGCCTCGAGTGCCGCGTTGCAGCTCCCATTTCCACGATAGTTTCAGCCCGAGCCCGCATTGCTGGATGCGAGTACCTATGTTGGATGTCAACTCCTTCCGGGCAATCGCCACTCGTGTGCTCTCGTTCCTAGGTCGCTGCCACGGCTGTCTACAAGGTAATATTGCCCAGGAGTCCACATCGCGGCGGAATCGCTCCGATGTTCCCGAGGGCACCAGGCGCTCCTACTTAGCGAGTACCTACTCAAGGTACAACTGGCTGATGAGCTATGAGCCAGAGCGCCCAGGAACAATCGATCAAGCCAATTCTCTTCACCTATAACCCACCCAGTCGAACTTCTCGCAGGACTCCAGACAAAGCCACTGTAGGCACTACAACACGGTTGCCTTGCTCATTAACGCTGAAGGCCCGCGCATTGGGCGCTCGAGAAAGCCTCAAGCAACCAACACAGGAGAGTTTGGAGGCATCCAGCACGCGTAACACGGTCAACGCGAGGCCATTGTCTCGCACTACCCAAAAGCTGATCGTGGAACAAGGCAAAAAGAGTCATGTGATAAGCTGCGTGGGAGCGCATGAGGCCCTGTCGGACGCAAGGACTTAGTCAGGAAATTGAAGCTACTGATGCATGAAGCGACCGACGCGTGACCCATACCGGTAGGCAGTGACGTAGTCGGCCCGAGCTTAAGCTAAGCCCCCTCCTCCTACAAGGCAGTCACGACCGCATCAGCACTCTTTCTACAACAATAATCCTGCAACTAAGTGACCCTTCAACAACAGCCTCAAAACACCGCCAAAATGTTCAAACACGTTCTCGCCGTCCTTCTTCAACTCTCCATGTTTCTCCTCGTCGAGGCTGCACCAGTTGCCGTCCAAAGCGCTCAGCCGTGGCAAGCTGGAACTGGAGGAGGCATCGTTGGATTCATAGTTCTTGTCCTCGACATCATTGCATGGAGTAAGCTTCCTCACTTAAGTTTCACTGAGCAATAGCTAACGTATGCGTCAAAGTCGAGATCTTTAAGTCCAACCGCCCCGTCTCCGGCAAGGTCATCTGGGCCCTCGTTGTCTTCCTCGTAAGTGTTCTTGCTTGGGCTTCAGTGAGCGTCAGCTAACATGCGCGCCACAGTTTCCTGTCGTCGGCATGATCATCTATTACCTCTTCTCCAACCGCCAGGCCCACAACACCTACGAGCCTATCAGCGCATAAGCGAGCATGGACACGCGACCTCTAAACATACCTCACAGTCCCAGCAACGGGCAACTGAATCGCCCGAGCATACAGTCGGCTTAATTGAGGAAGCAGAAATCTTTGCGAAGTTCACATTACAGGCGTACGCTCGATATTGGAAGTAGCGAACGGAGTTGGTGGTTGACCTCATTTCATTGGACGTTCGTTAGGCGCTTCTGATAATCATAGGGCGCGAAGATCGCGGCTGTAGTCACCGTCTATTCAATACGAATCATTTAAAACTAGATACGTACCACATCATGGTGCCTACACGACACATCCAACAAGCCTTTCAAGATGCTGCGACGGACAGACAGACTATAAGGACCCGGGAAACTCACACTACGCATAAACGTGATCAGGTCTCTTGCGTCAACGCCTTGCATTATTTTGAGAATATTCAGGCGTGCAAGTGACACCGTTCGAACTCAGCTATTGATTGGCTCGTTGTCCGAGAGAGTCTGTACGGGGGACGATTAAGGACAAAGTGCTAGAAATCAAACAGCGAACAACAAAACCCGGAACCCAAAACCTGAAAACGTGAAAACCTAAGAATTAGTTCAAGGACAGGAGCACAGAGCAGATGAAAGCAAGGGGGACAGCTCATCGAAACGCTGTATCGTATTGTCCTCATTCCATTATTTCGCAAAGATTACGAAGCCGTCTGGGAACCCGGCAAGTAGCCCAGCACTGGGTCTATGGTGCAGCTGAAGCTAGTCTTAGCTATCGGAGCAACCCTATACGGTTCAATCTACTCCATGCGCATCGAAGCTACGCGCTGGGTCTATGAGGTACAGTCCTGGCCTATGTCACCCGCCTTCAAGTCAAAGCTTGGGATCTGCTTCCTGCAGAACAACATCCTGGTTCTACTCGCTCGCTCGCTCGCTCGTCGACGTTGGTGGTGAGCTGATATGGATTTCTGCTGGGGCGGTTGTACGATCCGCTGTCTACATGAAATTGCACAAAGATCCAGCTCAGCTGCGAGATGTCTGTTCTCGACGCTGAGATGAGGCGACATCTTTGGAGCACCATCCTCGAGGTTCCGCTGCAGTCAAGTCTTGTTTCCGGCGGGCCATGCTTCATTCAAGTGAACGAGTTCTATATACAGCCGCCATGTAACTACAATGACGCAGATCTGGAAGCCGCAGAACCTATGACTAGACCATCCGACGTCCGATCAATACACACAGACCTCCGTTGCGATTACTCTAAGGCAAACATTCCCAGCTCGTCTTGCTGTTGTAAAGTTTCTAAGCGATCCTTTTTCAATTGGAACATACGAAGAAACCCTCAGACTCGATCGCGACATTCGAATAGCGTACAAGGACGTCAGACGCAAACTTCAATCAATCTCTGCCAATGCGCAAGCAACACCCGGAAAATTCGAACTTCAAGCAGTCGATTATGTGCTGCACCGCTATATATTGTCTCTTCATCTGGTCTAATTTGCTGGATCACTGCATGGAGCGACTTATGCGTATACCCGGGAGTCGGTAGTTGGGTCTTCGCTGGAGCTATGGTGGCTGGTGGGGTAGCAACCCGTCGTTCCCATATACAGAAACCGATCTCCCACGGCTTTGCAGACGTGGCTCCGGTTTCTCTTGCGCCTTCGCTTTCCGGTCAGCATCCCTACTTGGCGTTGAGCTACGCGCCTTGCACCAAGAGGGCAGCATTAGCGAAGTCAACATCCGTCCGACCTTATCAACATAGTCGACGACGCCGCAGACTGGTATCTACAGTGCACTAAGGCTGGAGAGACGGGTATCAAGGGGTACATGCTGCTCAGTATATTGGCTGTACAGATTGACGCGCTCGTACGACACGCTCCGGAGGAAGGAATGCCATTGATACTTGTCGAGGCATTAGAACGCGTGGGAGAGCAGTGTATACCTCTGCTTGACGAACTAGCGGGATGCAAACAACCTAATGAATATGTTGACCCTTGGCTGAGCACGGACTTCCAGCACTCGGCGGGCCTCTTGGAGGACTGGAACACGTTGATGGCAGATGCATTCAATCTTGGGACTCGGGTGTCATTTGATTTTTCTTGACCTGAGGAGTCCTGCCATGAGGATCATGAATGTGGCGAAGCCATACCCTCATGATGAGTTGTCGGACGATGATTTCGCCGACTATCTTAAATGAGAGCATCTCTTCGAAATTGCTTCTTGACTCGGATGTACAAACATTGGACGAGGTTTCGAGGTCTTTGGGATTTAAGCAATCAAGATTTTCCTGGCCCTTCAAGTCGATACACTCGACGGTTTTGATCAGAGCTAGCTTCTGCAGTGGTGGCCGGACGAAATTAGAGATAGGACGCGAGTAGAGTTATGAACTGTTGTACTTAAGAGACCTGCATGCTAGCAAATCTCTCAGCAGGTTGAATGATCCAGAAATGACGCAACACTAATGTTGGGCTCGGGACTAAGCGGTAAGAGTCAGAACACGACGCGAAAGGCAGATGACTGCTAGTGCGCCTATTACTCGTTCTGGGAGCGCATGTTGCGACTGAAGACTTGGTCGAGGAAGAGAGGCACTGGCAAAGCTTAGGAACAATGGAGGGTTGGGACCTAAGTTGCAAGGTGCTGTACCAATATCGAGGGTCTTTGGTGATGGTACCGATATGTAGCTTAGAACGCGTCACGACCAACGCCACTGATGTGGAATCAGGAAGGAGCGCGACCATTCCCACAGGTCGAAACGAAAACCTCATCATTGTCATGCGCTGCTCATGTTCAGCTTTGTGTCCACGACTGCGTCTTGGTGCTGTATCGTTGAACGTTCGCAGCTGAAGCTGTGTGGCGTCTCGCCAGTGAGACTCGGCCAATGACATCACGAGCGTCAGCTCCGCGCGACTGTCCATCAAGTGCGGAACGTACTTGACCGCTATTCCATCAGACGTAAGCCTCCCCGAGCTCTCACCACCATGCACTGACACAATGGGCAGTCTTCTGTCTACTTCGCAGCCGAATCTGGAGTGGAAGTCAGAAGCGCAGTTCGCAATGGAGTCGTCGTGTTTCTGCGTTGTTTGCGGATCGCCGTTCGACCTATCGGGTGACATTTACAACCTTGACGTAGAGGCGGCTCGCTACAAGGTCAACATAACGCATTCAAGACACCAGACAGTGGCTTACGGTGCTCAGTGGATGCGAAACCACCGCCTTATTAGCAGCCGACATGATATTCACCACCACAATTTAGCAGGCCTCTCAGAAGACGACTTTCAGTATGTATATTGGCAAGCGGCACGTGCTCTTAGTGACCTTCAAGTAGCTCTGCTTGTTACAACACATCCGACAGCCCTGATGTCTTTCTTTCCGCAAGATCAACATGGGATGATGGCAGCGAACATCTCTTCCACATCGATGGACTGTACCCGGATACCAACATTCCATACATCATTACCTTCAACGCGATGCAACAGGCCCAAGACTACGACACTGTCTTTCCACTACACGAAGATTGTCTGCAGATCAGTCGTCGCGTCATCGACCACCTCCAGCCGGTCGCTTCGGACGGCCAGTCTCGGTCCAGCTTATCCATCTTGAATGAAATTTTGCAGTCTCGTTTTCGTCAGAACGCAAAGCGCGCCAGATCTGATAGTCTCATCGCAAGGAACGACCTCCTTGATCTTTGCACTGCAACAGATATGAACGGTCCGAGAAGTGTTATCGGATTATCGCTTCTGGAGTGGTGGGAAGGACTGTTCGACGTCAGCAGCCATACACCGCTCCTCTTGCAATACTGATGTATACACAGAAATTTTACACAGATCCATTATGCTCAGAAAGTGTCACGGCCTGTGTCCACAGCCTGCTTAAGAACACTCACGCCCCCAACGCTCCTACAGTATTTTATAACCCGCCGAATCGAGGCTTGAGCAGGATAGAATGCCTGCCAGCTGAGATGCTCAGTCGGATCAGTAATCGACTCTCACCAATGTCAGCTCTTGCGTTGCATCGGACGTCGAGAACACTAGCTCTGAAGGTGCCGTTGGACAACCATTTCTGGTGCACAACAATCATGAACGGCACAGCTCTCCCATACCTTTGGGACCTCGATATCGAAATGCTTGAGGCGCGCCTACGAAAACACTTAGCGACTTCGACAGACCCGGGTGCAATGTGGGATTGGAAATCGGTCGGACGGCTGCTGGCAAGAAAACACTTCCCAATTAAAAGCTGTGATCAGCGAATTGTAAATATACCAAACAGCCTCTGGAACCGACGAAGGATCTGGTCCGTTGTCGAAGAAGCATATACGAATGACTTTGGCGGGTCTGTAGGGGGAAAACGAAACGAGAGCGTCATTGAAAAGCGCGAAAGACGTGAGCCTGTGTTTGGCTGGCAAGTGGAGGAAATAATGGACGATCTTGGGCACTACTCATGAAAATGCCTACGGCATTGTACTACCAGATCAAATTCATCCACTGCCCCAACAGCGAGCCATACCCGTCGTAGACGTTCTCTGTCAGGTCAGTAATGTACAGCCACTCAACACTACGCCTTGCATTATCAACCACCTTCCGGAGACGCACATCGCCAGTAGTAGTTGGCGTCGAGTGGATCAACAGGCCAAAGTTTTGCCTGTGCAGACTATGCTGTTCCAACTTTTTGACGCTGTTGCTCAGCTGCTCGCGACTTGGCAAGTCCGAATAGGCACCTTCAAACACGACAATCATATCAGCCCTATAAAGGACCAGACCGACATCTGGCACGCAGCCCGGATTATGCACGACTAGCTTCGGTTCGAGAAAGCCTTCCGAGTGTCGCACTGTCGCACTGATGTTCCTGAGGTATTCGCTTGCGTCCGCCTCATCCTTGTACGGTGTCTGGTCGAAGAATATCCCGTTTAGCTTCAGGTCCTGGAACTTAGACCACTCACTGTATGTAGCAATCTCGGCGCGCACAGTAGCATTGTCGCGGGTACCGCGGTCGGTGCGTATGTAGCCAAGTGTCTGTACATGCGGATACACTTCCAACGCATTCAGGACGTCAACATACTCTGAGCTCGGTCGCGTGCCGTTCCCTGGCCCGTCATCCGGATTGATAATGACGGTGAATTTCACGTCCTGGTGTTCCACGATGCTTCGACATGTAAGCCACAGCCTCAACAACTGCCGAACTCGCGTGGGTAACGTACGCATCATACAATATATTCCACGAGCCAGCATCCGGAAAGGCATACGAAGGCGCAATGATGTTGACCGGTAACCGCACGATAAACTTCTGTGCGATCACCGCGACTAGAGGCACCCCTATTACTATCAAGAACGCCAGCGAGAGCGTCACAGACAGAGCCAACACACGATCATCAATACCCCAGTATGTGACATTGAACTTCCTCTTCTCAGCTGACTGCAAGCTGCACTGTGTGTAGTACGCAGCAAGCGCCCTCGAATGCCTGTTCTCTAGGTGTGGACGGGTGGGTCGTTCAGCAAGAATAACTGCCGGCTTGAGAGGCGTGATCTTGTCTTTGCCTTCGTCGAAATCATCTTGATCTTGTGAGTATACTGAACTCGCTGGTCTGATACTCAAGGGTATTGAAATTGGACGTGATGAGCGCTTGCTGTTGCGGCCGGGGATGGCGAGGCTGAAGGGGCTGGAGACATTGCGGGCGGAGAGCGAGTCTCGATTGGAATTGAACGAGGTGATGACGCTGAGACGTGGCTTTCTGGGGGAAGACATTGAGGTGGTGGTCAGACCAAAGTCCCAGGTATGCAGCATGTTTGTTCGGTGATTAGCATGCTCACTGCATTCCTCGCTTCCAAGGCGACCCAAGCTATGAATTCAGCCTGGAAGCAAGACCATATCAAGCGAATCAATTGCATGGCGTCTGATTGCCACTAAGTCTGTATTGCAGCGATTCGCTTTGAGACAGAGCCATGGACTTCGACCTTACACGAGACGTACCTGTGAGCTGACATGCATTCAATGAGCCGTACCAGTATGTAGCAGGCTCAAGTCGTAAGGATCCAGATGGACCACCATACTTCAGGCGCTGATTACCAACTACAGACAGACTTCCGCAAAAATATCGTAAAGCTGTCTAGACATACCGAGGATATTTTCGCGTTCGCGACAGTTCATCGTGTTGCAGGTCAATCACCGCTGGCGCGCAAAATAGTGGCGTTCTGTGAGTGGGTCGCAGAGGCCAAGAGTGCCCCTAGCGCCTTGCTCCCACCTCGCTTAGCGAAGGAGCTACCCACGAATTTTGAGCCCACGAGAGCCAGCTCGCAACCTTTCGTCGACATCGCTAACCCACAGCAACCTCCAAGATGAAGTACATGTACGTTACCACCGAGCCGCTCCGCTGCGTCAGGCCCACCGAATCGTGCCGGATCGAATTTGCGACCTCAAGATCAGCCGCAATGCGATTCGATGTCTGGCGCACTACAGCGCACGATGTTTGAGATGCACGAACGGGACTGACAGTGCGCAGCCACTCCGAGGAATTGCTCGAGATCCCCGAGGGGGTCAAGGTCACCATCAAGACCAGGAACGTTGTCGTTGAGGGTGCGCATCAAAAACTCATTGGGAGAAGGATTGCAACTGACTGATGCAGGCCCCCGTGGCAAGCTCGAGAAGTCCCTCGGCCACTTGGCTGTCTCGTTCACCCACCCCAAGAGCAACCTCATCAAGATCGAGCTCCACCACGGCTCCCGCAAGAGCGTCGCTACCCTCCGCACCGTCCGCACCCTCATCAACAACCTGATCATTGGTGTCACCAAGGGTTACAAGTACAAGATGCGCTACGTCTACGCCCATTTCCCCATCAACGTCAACGTCGAGAAGAACAAGGAAACCGACCAGTTCGAGGTTGAGATCAGGAACTTCATTGGCGAGAAGCTTGTGCGCAGGGTGGTCATGAGGCCCGGTGTCGACGTTGAGGCATCGAAGAACCAGAAGGATGAGCTGCAACTCTCCGGAAACGTAAGCGTGCTCCTGGAGCTTACTATGGTTCAGCCTGCTAACGGACAATTAGTCCCTCGAGGATGTTTCCCAGTCGGCTGCCGACATCCAGCAGATCTGCAAGGTCCGCAACAAGGATATCCGAAAGTTCTTGGACGGTCTCTACGTCTCAGAGCGCGGCAACATCGAGGAGGCCGCTTAAGCGAGTGTGATGAGCGGGAGTACGGCTTGAATCTTTCACGGGCATATGAACGACTACGAGTGTCTTTGCATCACGGACTGCGGTCGGCGCCTTGGGGGATAACTTCAAAACTGATGTTCAATACCATCATCGTCGCAAAGACGAACCCAACACCCGCCCGCGCACCTTTCCTAGTTGGTGATGTTTGTCGACGTGACTACTGATAACTGCAAAATTGTCGCTGATCATCTCTCAGACAGGTCAGCACGGGCGCCGAGGGTACTGCTTTCTTCAATAGCATGACGCTTCTGGACGTGTCTCACCTCCCCCGCGGCATGTGCAACAAGTGGCCATTTGCAAGACGCACTTCTGGCGGCTCGGCTCTGCAGCACACCCCGCTGAACCACCATCACCAATCACCTCGGAATTGCCTCCTATCACCGCAAAGTCCGCACAGCACAGCGGCTGCACAGCGTTCAGCCGTCGCAACTGCCTAATTAAGCACCATGATTACCCGTACACACAATATAAGATGGATGGATCGGCGACAAGGCGCAGCAATTGCAGCACTGATCTCCCATATTATCTAGTCTGAAGCTTCGCTACGCATCATCTCCTGCAACAATGCATGCAGACAAGCTGGATATCGAGGGTCTCCTCAAGGAGTCCAAGGCCGAGTACAGACAGCTGGGAAAGAGCGGCCTGCGTATCTCAGTACCGATCTTTGGCTGCATGTCCATTGGCTCAAGCAAGTGGCAGCCATGGGTAATCGAGGAGGAAGAAGCACTCCCTCTACTGAAAGCTGCATGGGACCGCGGACTCACAACCTGGGATACTGGTACACCATGCCCAAAGTCTTCCAATATTGTCTGCTAATGCACCACAGCAAACGTCTACTCCAACGGCGTCTCCGAGGAGATTATCGGCAGAGCAATCAAGAAGTACTCCATACCCCGCAACAAACTTACCATTTTAACAAAGTGCTTCGGCACCGTTGGTGAAGACCCTGGTCTACGCTCCATCAAATATGCGGAGGAGATGCCGCAGCTCAAAGACTACACAAACCACATCGGCCTTTCGCGCACCGCGATTCTCAACGCCGTCAACGCCTCGCTCGCGCGCCTCGACACGCCCTACATCGACCTCTTGCAAATCCACCGCTTCGACGAGACGGTGCCGGTCGAAGAGACAATGGAGACTTTACACGATCTGATCAAGAGCGGGAAGGTGCGCTACATCGGCGCGAGCAGTATGTGGGCAGTGCAGTTTGCGTCGATGCAGTTTGCTGCCGAGAAGCGGGGCTGGACCAAGTTCGTGAGCATGCAGAACCATTATAATCTTCTGTATCGCGAGGAGGAGAGGGAGATGAATCGGTTCTGCAATATGACTGGTGTTGGACTGATCCCGGTATGTTCTTTCCTTGCCTTCCTCCGATACCTCATGCTCTTCCCTTCCCTTCTGGTTGCTGATATGAAATTAAGTGGGCGCCCCTCTGCCGCGGCCACCTCGCACGCCCCGCCTCGGCCTTCGGATCCACTAAGCGCTCGGAAGGCGAAAAAGAAGCAGCTGAGCAGCAGACTGGGCATACAGAGGCGGACCATAGGATTGTTCAGAGGGTCGAAGAGCTTGCAAATAAGCATGGTTGGAAGATGAGCCATGTGGCGCTCGCCTGGATCAATAAGCGCGTCACCAGCCCGATCATCGGGTTCTCGAGTGTCGACAGGATGGACGAGGCGCTGGAAGCGAGGGGAAAGTTTCTGACGGTGGACGAGGATAAGTATCTGGAGGAGTTGTATGAGAGCAGGAGGATTGTGGGACATTCGTAGGCACTCAAAGAGGTATGGGACGGGTGCAATCGACTGACGCACGCTGCTTAGCTTGATCTGCGGCGACGGATCAGTTGACAGCTCTCGTGTGCTTGATGCAGACGTCCGACATGAAGCTTTTCGGACGAGGTATTCATGATTCATCTGCAGATGTCCCCTTTATTTGTCGTAGGCAATTCGACAAGTACGTGGAGTGATGTCTTAGCTGATGAGTACTTCTTATGCTGACCACGTCCGTCATTTCGATCTAGCTTTGACGAAGTGCCAGAGTGCGCGATGGATCCGAATGAAGATTGCCATTTAAACATCTGTTCGTGTAGTAGTGTCAACATTTTGTACATGGGAGTTGAACATCCCACTCTTGGTTTGTGCTCGAAGATGTCGGTACGATGGATTTGATATTTGGACACAGTCTGTCTTCCCTAATGATTACCCAAACCCACCTCCAAATTCTCTAGTGTGTACTGGGTGCTGAATAGATGATTTCAGGATATCGTTGAGGTGGCGATCTGAGCAAGTCGGTGCACGCCCCAAGCATTCCTGAATTTGTTCAGCATTGCTTGAGCTTCCACGGCGCCAGCAAGGCACGGCGACAAAGGGCTCGTCAGATGATCGGACCCCACGCGGAACTACCGGGAAAAGCCAATTATGTGGACAAATGGCTCTCTTGCACCAGCAGTACTACAGTTCAGATCCAATTGCCCTCGGCGAAGCAGCTTCCGCTAGAAGCCATGGTCCTTGCAGGTACCAAGTGGAGCATACAACAGCCCCTCTGGCTTCCCGCCACATTATGGGCCGAATTGAAGCGATGTCCAGGATGCTCACTTGATCGTATGACGTATGTCGCTGTCGCGCGATGGTCATCACACCACAATGCCGATACCGCGAACACAACGAGGACATCATATTGAGGCTCAATTACAGCTCGATAACGCGACGGAGGCTCAATTGCTAGCTTGTGAGTATCACTGAGGTGCTGCCGGCCCCTCTGGGTTTGTGTCAGGGTGCGTGGTTGGCATCGCGTCGATGAGCGTTTCCCCGCATTCATTACCCCAGACACAAGCTGGCCCAAGCTCACCACTGCCAGATCCGGCACCGATTGGATGAGATGATGTGGTGAACAGCTGACTACCTCCTGTGCATCCGCCGACTGATTAACCCCTCATTCAAAAGCGTCTCAGCCCCCTCCTTCTGTTCTTCACACACTCACCTGCCCAAACTTCCTTCTCACTTCACCAAGTGCCATTTTCAGCTCACCAAGCTCACCAACAGCTCCCCCAGCTTCCTGCTTACAAGCCGCTCAGTCAATCTCTTGCTTACCACCACACCCACCGTTCCAACCATGGCAGAAACCGAGGCAACCCTTTCCAAGGTCGACTCCGCTAACCAGCAGCCTGAGGTCAAGGCCAAGCGCCGACCAAGTTCTATGGCAGCTGACTGCTACGACATCCTCGACCTCCGTAAGTAGCCATCTCGCGCCATTGGCCTCGGTGAGGGTAGCAAGTGAGGGGAAGCAGTGCTGACAGGATGACAGAGAAAGAGGGCAAGACAATCAGCATTGCACCCGAGACTCAAAAGCTAGGGTGGTAAGTGACATTCCTCGCCCTGCAGATGTGCATTGTCAGCTGCTACCAGTGCAAACCTTTCCATCCATTGAGAGGCAGTCATACTATCTCGACGAGACAGACTTGACTGATCGATATGACAGGAAGCTGAACAAGTCACCATCAACAGTTGACGACCCCGCATTCCTGGCACTGCCATTGTGCACTCCCAAGGTCAAGAAGATTACTCTGCACTTCCCCTTAGGTCTGGAGGTCTCTGCCCGCAACATGAAGGGCGTTACGATCAAGGACGCATTAGATGCCATCCACAAGCAGTTCAAGAAGAGGGTACGTTCTCGATCCTCCAGCGTAACTGCCCACATGAACCTTACGTCGGCGAGCCCACTTTACCCCGCACCTGATCAAGATACGTCCAGCCTCATTTAGAGCATTGCTAACGCCAGCCACAGCAAGACGATGAGTTCGAGAAGCCCTACCTAGCAGGCTTCGAGTGGGATCCCGAAGAGGATTACACACGGTTCATCGTTCACCAGACGACCACAGCTACCTCGTCCTTCGGTAAGGACCAGTCTTCAAAGAAGAAGAAGAAGAAGGCCGCCGAGGAGGGCCTTGAGGAGTAAATGAATTACTCGCCCTCTTCCCTGACCTTGACTCTACAACAGCCTCGATCGTAGCTCCGTGCTTATACATTGGCTGATGGCAGGTACGGCGGATACGTTCGAAGGTTGGTCAATCTTCGTATCGATATGGGGAGAGCGAGCGCGCTGCTGCGAGTGACATGGCTGGCATATCGTGTGCTTCAATGCATGCGTTGTGTTGGTCGTTGCGCCGCATAGGCGTTCGTGGGACGGTTCACGGTTGTTCTGCACCTAGATATGTATGTTATAGGCACTCGTTCAGGCTGCTGGCTAGCGCTCGGAGAATGAGAAGACCTGTTATCACGACTGATTGTCTACGTGTCGCCGTGATGTCGTTGAGGGGGTGGGCAAGGACCCACCGTGGGCTCCTCTTTCCCGTCCAAATTGCGGTTGGCAAGCGCTAAGCGACTGCGACTTACGTCCAAACAATTCCCTTCCACCCACGCCAGCCTTCTGACCAAACCTAAAAACACGACCAGCAACATACAGTACGTCATGCGAGAACGTCCAAGACAATTCTTAGGTACTCAATTGCGCGGGTGATTGCTCGCTATGGTTGCCAGGGGACGCATCCAAGACCGCTCAATGGGCGTCATGGGCGGGGCGGCCCTGGCGAGTCAGCGGCTACCTAGCTACATCAGTCGACCTCTCACTGCCATGCTTCCTACTCTCGCACAACAAACTTGAAGGCAGATCACCGATGAAGCGTTCGACATGAGTTTTGTGCTTCCAATTCGACCTTCAAGGTCATCCAAGGCTCCAAAAACTCCGAAGGCAATAAGGACTACCAAGACACTTCCACCACCGCTTGAGTCTCCTCGCCGAAGACCAAGTCTGGCAACACGTGCTGGAATTACCAAACGACGAAGTAGTGTATCTACGACTTTCAATGCGCCATCTATGAGTTTCTTCGAGGCGATGTTTGGGGATGACTTCCCTGATGCATTCGCACACGATGGCCGCAGCTGCAAGAGCACAAAAACAATGCTCGATCTACCTGCTGAATTGCTGGAAATTATCTGCCAATACTTATCCCAGCTGGATGTGAAGCGACTTCGACTGACGAGCGGAGGGCTCGCTGAAAAAGTTGAGCTGCGCATCGACCGCGTGTATGTCTCCCCAAATCGTGCAAACCTCGACTGTCTGAAGAACATACTCGACCATCCTCGATATTGTCTTCAGATACAGGAGCTTGTCTGGGACGACGCACAGCTTAGGCATTTACCGGCCTTCGACATCTTCCGGGACCATATCGAATCTGACCAGGCAAAAGCAAGGGTCGCGCTGGAGGATCATCTGTCAACACTCTTTCGAAGTAACGCTGAGGATGAAGCAGAATATGAATCGATCGGCGTCAAAGACTGCATACAGGACGACGGCGAATTGACGGAGATTGGCAAGGCCATCCTGCTCAACGCAAATGACGAGAAATCGAAAACCATCATTGCGAGCTGTGCGGCATCGATGAGTGTCGAGGATAGCTACGTACTCTACCAAAAGCTCTATCAAGATGAGAGGGAGATCGTCAAACGCGAGTGGGATGTGCACGCTCTTCAGCGTGCGCTTGAGCAACTTCCGAACTTGAAGCGAATCACCATCACGAGCGAAGTTTGGAGACCCTGGAATCTCATCCCGGTCTACGATACCCCTTTCCATCGCGCTCTACCGGCGGGCTTTCGGAAGCCTTCGGTTTGGCCTTGGGTTGATCGCAGTCATCTAGACACCCCGAGGCCGCCTGCATTCGACGAATCGATCCAGCATTTACCAGCGGAGTGGAGAGGCTATAGCGTCGTGATGTCTGCGTTGGTCTCAAAATCAGTTCCAACCCTGCAAGAGTTCATTGTAGATACAGGGCACGAAAATGTCGGCCTTCCCAAGCAAATCTTTGCGCTACCAACCCTTGATAGCACCAAAAGTATACGGGTTTTCAGTACTACACCTCTCAAGAAGCTCCAACTATCGTTTGTAGAGCATTTTGCCCAAGGATATCCCATTGGTCAAGACCCGGGAGATTGCGGTCTTCTGAAACATGTAATCAGCGTCACACCCAACCTCGAAGATCTAGATCTCAAGTGGAGCCTACCGCCAAACGATGTGTATGAGTTGCTTGATGAGACGTGGCTTCCGGCGCATTGCCCCGGACTCAGGAGGATCGCTCTGCGGCATGCCAAAGTATCGAGCAATTGGCTATACAACATGGTCACGAACCTCGGAAATCTGGAATCAGTCGTTCTCGACAAGATACAGGTACAAGATCACCACTCCGGAGAACCGTTCGTCTTCCATCGCTTCCAGCAATATTATGCGGGGAGATGTATCCGGGGGCCGAATTTTACATGGACCGAGTATCTGTTTGGATACTGTGAACCAAGGGACGTCATGCTTCGCCATTCTAAGTGGTTGGCGGTTGTCGACGACGAACTGAACGCCTTCTTGTACGATGGTGGCGAGGTACCTTTCGAGCGTTTGCATCGCCCCGACATGGCTCTACAAGGCTCTGTTATTAGGCCCGATGTTGGTTGGATAGTGGATGGCCGGGATTCGACGGTGCACTTCAGGAGGAGTAACGATGCCATTGCTGCTGCCAGGGCGATGAGGAATCCCTGGCCAATAGATGGATCGACAGCTGCTGTGCGCGCGGAGTGGCGGCTACATTGACATTCGTCGGAGCACTGGATTGCCACTGGAACATCGATACCAACATTGACATCTATTAGCTTCGCAACTGATTCGTCCTGCATCACCATCCTGAACATCTCTTGTATGCATCCTCCGTCTTTGAAACCACTCTTGCGCCACTTATTCCGTGCTCACTCGGGCTTCATCACAGCGCCTAAGACGTCCTTCTTAAGCTCTTCATAGCGACTTTTCCAAGTCTCCGCTTTCCTCTCTGCTTCACTTTTCTGTGCTTCAGCCTCAGCAATCTTCTCCGCTAGATCAGTGGCCCTCTTCTCAACGCTCTTCACCTCCTTCTTCGCGTCCTGCAGCCTTGCCTCGAGGTCACGGATCCGAGTTTTATGTTCGCTGGCCTCCTTCTCAGTACTCTTCTTGTCTTTCTCCGCGCCTTTCAGCTTCGCCCCAAGCTCGCGCAGCTTAGTCTTCAGCTCAGCGACCGCCTGTTCAGTCTTCTTCTTGGCTTTGTTAACGCCCTGAAGCCCCGACTCAAGATCGCAAATCTTGGCTTTGAGCTCGGTAGTCTCCTTCTCCAGACCCTCGTTGTCTTTGTCTGCAGTGGCGAGCTTTGCCTCGAGGCCAGAAATTTTGGTGCTCAGCTCGGCGGACCGGGTACCGAGATCCGTCTTCTCCTTCTCCACGTTCAGGAGCACGGTCTCGAGCTCTTGGATCCTGGTGTTGAGCGCGGTGGACTGAGTTCCGATATCCTTTGTGCGGTTCGCTGCAGTCACGAGTTCGAGCTCGAGGTCGCAAATCTTGGCACTGAGCTCCGCCGTCTCGCGCCGACTTGTTGCTTGAGCAGTACCAACCTGGCCGAAGACCGAGGCTCGATAGGAACCAAACGCCTGCTCCAAGTTCCTCAGAAGCACGCCACTGGCTAGGCCAGGGGATGTTGGCATGATTGGGCGTTGTGGCGTGATTTGGGCCGAGGCAGATCGGAAGATCCTGGGAGCTACAAGTCACCGTTAGAGGTGTTGTATTCAAAGTTGGCACACAAGTTGGCACACAAGTTCGCTTACTTCGAGGGACGCGAGGTGAGCGAGTTGGCGTTTCAGATGCTCTGCGGGCCAGATGCTCAGCAACGTCCCTGCACGCGTTTGGGAAGTGCTCTTTAAAGAAGCTGGTCCTGCGGATCATGTATGCTGACGGGCGCATAAGATGGATGTATCGCACAAGCGTTTCGAAGCGCGCAAGACTGACTTCGTCTTCGGCAGGAGCGACGAAAGAGAATGGCTCTGTGAAGTCGATTTTTGGGTTCGCAATGTCAGTATGCAGCTCAAATTTGCGCGTCTCAAACTCGTGGCCAACACAGATGGACTCCGGACCGTTCCATGCGTAGATAGGGGTACCATCGCTGTTGGAAGTGCCGACTCGGAGGCCCTGGACCCCCAGTGAGAATTCTGCGGTGTCGTCCCGAGCGTAGAATGGGAAGAATCTGCAATTAAAGGATCGCAAAAGGTTCTCGAGCTTCGCAAAATCGTCCGGGAAGGATGCAATCGCCCAATCTCTAACGCTCTGTAATGTTTCTTTTGGCTGCATGTTGCAATGTGAGGTGATCTGCGGCGAAAAATTATCGAGGTGTTGGCGAGAATCGTGAGAAGTCGACAGATGTTTGTTGACAGTGCCAATAGTGGCCTTCACCTCACCCAGGCGGTTATAAAGCGACGTTTGTAAGATACTGCTTGGCATGAAGATTATGGATAGCGGGTTGTACATGGTCTGCAATCGAGATGGACTACGGCTTCAACAGCAGTTTACCGGTCGTCTTCCTCCCCTCGATATCCTCAGTCGCGCGCTTGATGTCCTCCAGCGGGTAGATGTCGTGGATCTTGACGTTCAGACCGTCCTTCTCAATGAAACCCCACAGCTCCTTAGCGTACTGCTGGAACTCCTCGCGGTCAGCGATGTAGTTGAACAGCGTAGTGCGCAGCAACTTGACGTTCTTCGCCGACAGACGTCTGCATCACGTTAGCCACCCAGCGTCAATACAGGCGGGCGAGAACTTACGCCAGCGCAAACCCAGTAACCGGACCCGACGCATTTCCAAAGCTGACCATGGTGCCCTTCCTCCTCACGACCGCAAGACTGCTGTCAAACGTATCCTTACCCACCGAGTCAAACACAGCGTGCACACCCTCGCCACCCGTGATCTCAAGCACCTTCTTGACAAAAACATCCTGGTCGTCAGCATGGTACTCAAGCAGGACTTCGGCACCATTCTGCTTCGCCAACTCCCTCTTCTCGGGCGTCGACGCAGTAGCAATCGTGCGTGCACCAACAGCCTTGAGCAGCTGGCACAGCCACAAACCGACACCACCGGCGGCAGCAGTCACGAGGACCCAGTCACCTTTCTGCACAGCATAAGCTTCACGAATCAGGGTGAGAGCAGTCATCGCTTGGAGAGGAGCGGCAGCGCCGATCTTGGTGCTGATCGAGTCCGGAATGGTGACGACGAAGTGAGAGGTTGTGGCGGTGTACTCGGCATATGCGCTCTGGCCCATGTAGGCTACGCGAGCTCCAATTGTCAGGTCAGAAGGCGCGTTGGGACCGACTGCTGCGATGGTGCCGGAGCCTTCGCGACCGAGGATGTAGGGGAACGAAGGGGGGCTGTAGACTCCGGAGCGGAAGTAGCTGGAACAAATCAATGCTGTCTTCTCTCGGAATCACTCCATGTTTGGAGGGGTTGTCAGTAGGAAGATGATGCTCACGTGTCAATGTAGTTGATGCCAATGTACTCGTTCTTGATGAGGACCTCGTCGCCCTTTGGCTCAGGGACAGGCACGTCGGTCTTGTACTGGAGAACGTCTGTTCCACCAGTCTTCTCGATGACAACTGCCTTCATGGTCTTGGGCAGGGACGACATGTTTCTGCTGTATATAGCTCTCGGACCTGGCTGGTTGCCGAGGGAGGCTAGTCTTGTGGATGCAATTGAAGAAGAAGCGGACAGTCTGAAGACACGAGCAGCGTGGGAAGCCAGAGACATGCGACGAAAGCTGTCTTGGCAGGAATGGAGATCAACAGCAGTAGAGACGTGGATATTTATCCGGCGTTGGAAGCGTGAGGTTGATGATAAATACATGTTGCTATATCCGAGAGAGCCCCGCTTTCCTGCGCACGTCATAGCAATTCTGCAATGTGTAGGGCGCGATGCAACGACACCTCTTCGTCTAATTTGGAAGGTGCTGACAATATTCAAACGACTATTAGCCATCGCAACACGATACGGCACGCCCAAGACTTGTTTACACTCGGAGCACATGTCATGTCCGATCTCGAGCTCGGAGATCCTCACTGGTAGCTTCACAACGGGACAGTGCCATGAAGAGAAGAGTCGTATTAGTGGCTTCATCACGCGAAAGTACCAACGTCGAGGTCACGCGAAAGTACCAACGTTGAGGTCACTCTCGGACGGATCGTGTTTGGTACTATCGGTATTTCATGTACGATCTCGTCTACTCGTAAGATCCACCAGACTCGCAGAACGCCCAATGCGTACTTTGCGGATGCAAGAAAGATTTACTATTCAATCCAAGCTCATGCCAGAAGAAAGTGGGTGTACCAAGTGCCAAACCCCGTTAGTAGTCATGGAAAGGCTTACACAAAGTCGTCCAACACCTTCGATATGCCCTCTGCTTCGGTGCGCTGCTCGCTGGTGGGGGGCGTCTGACTATTCACCAACACGTCAGCCATCTCTTGCGCATTTGTGAACTTGTCCGAGAAGATGGAGGTAGACGCTGAGGGTGTCAGCACCATACTTTCCGTGGGAATGGCACAAGGCAACGTGCGAAAGAGGAGGAATCCACTTACAGACTTCGTCGAGCTCGCCCTCGTCGGCCACGTCAGCAGAAGCGTGCTCAAGAGCGTCGGTGAAGACATCGCCATCCTCGTCGAAAGGTTCGCCCTGGATGGTGGTGGATGCCTCCTCGGTGTCCCTCTCGTCACTCGCGCGGAAAGCGTTCGTGGGGCGGGGCTTGGACTTTGGAGTCGACTTCGCTCGCTTGAGCTTCTCATCCTGCTCGTCCTCGTCGTCTTCGGCCTCGGTGTAGTTCTTGGCCAGCGCGCGCTTGCGCTTGGGTGTCGGAGTGGGTGTACCTGCGTCATCTTCCTCGGACTTGACCTCGATTCTCGCGGGCGTCGTCTTGGGAGTGGCGGCGGCATCCTTCTTGCTCTTGAGAGGAGTAGAAGGTGGGGCGTCGCCGCGCTCAATAGCGAGCTTCATGCGGGAGTAGCGCTTAGAGCAGGCGCCTTTGGTGCTATTGCAGGCCTGCGCGATGGCATCCCAGTCGTACTTCTACAGTGCTTGTCAGTATTATCCGTCGTACTCGGGCATGCCGACTTACCTTGTCGCGCGTGGAGTGTGTGACCATGAGCCACAGGAACTCGTAGTTGGACTCAGCAGGCTTCTCACCCTTCTCCATTGCCTGCTTAAGACGCGACCATCGCTTGGTGACTGCGCCCTTCTCCAAGCTGAGAGCAGCGCAGATGGGGTGCCAGTCAACCTAAGGAAGCTAATTAGTGCTTGAACACGCTGAGTGAGGTGCAGAGGTTTCACCGTGGGAGCGCCGCCTTGCGTAAGGATGAGGTAGAGGAACTGAATGTTCTCTTCGGTGGTTGGCATGACAGGAAATGCTATTGTTGCTGATGATCTGTTCTGTGAGGAGATGTGCTGGCGCAATGATAGTGGTGTAGCTGTCCAAAGGTTGGTTCCGCAGTAAGGAAGCTCGAGAGGCAAAGGTAGGCACCAGTCTACCTCTTTATCCCCTCAGTCTGCCTTCACCATGAACCCCCACACCTAGCAGACAGACAGAGACACGCTAACATCCTTAGCGTGGTTCTGCGCGGGCGCAACAGCTGCAACAGTGAGTCAGGTCTCTGGTTGTCTGGGTGAACGTGAAGGCAAGTGTTGCGACCAGCAGTGCTCTGCGGCGGTGTGACGGCGGCAAGGTGAAGGGACTTGAGAAGGCAAAGACCAACACTGCAAGAAGGACAGCGAGGAGGACAATTGTACAATGTCACGCAGATGCAGGACAAGAGAGGGACAAGGAAAGGATGCGAGTTTGTTCTGTGAGCAAGACAACGAGACGCTCCCACCTTCTTGGCCCCACAGCGGGCAAGAACCACAGAAACTCTAGGTTCAACAGCAGGCTTGCAGCTCAGACAGAGGCACGGCTAGGCAGAAGGATAAGTCAATTGAGAAGAAAAAGGTAAGGGTATCCATGCTCCAGATATGCACGTCTGCGACCCGCAGATCTATCATCCGCATCCACCTCTCTATTTCGCCGCCGGAAGCTCCCAGTCCTTGTAACTCCACTTCTCCGAGACGGTGTACTTCTTCTGCTTGGCGTAGGGGATGTGTCTCCTTGGCTCGACGACGCCGCGCAGCATCATGCTCCTGAAGCGGTCCTTGAGCAGGTTGCCTTCGGGCTTGAGGGCGCGCAGCGAGTCGCGCAGTTCGTCGGGCAGCACGACTTCGAGGGGTGCCTCCATGATGCTGGAAGACTGTTAGCGAGGGGGTGACTTTGCTGAGGGAGTAGCTTTGCTGAGGGAGTAACTCTGCTGAGGGGGGCAACTCTGCTGAGGGGGCAACTCTGCTGAGGGGGCAACTGTGCTGAGGGGGCAACTCTGCTGAAGGGGGCAACTCTGCTGAGGGGAATGGTGTAGGACGTACGGAATCCTGCCAAACTGCTTCTTGCGCAGTTCCAGCTCGTCGCCGTCTTGGACGTCGAGCGTGCCCTCGGCCTCGGCCTGGATGGCAGCCGCCATGCTCTTCGCCGCGTCTCTGCTGCGTTCCTTTTCCTCGACGCTCTTCGCCAGCGCCTTGATCATCTGCACCTGCTGCTCCTTGGCGCGCATCTTCGCGTCGTGCTTTGCGGCTCTTTCAGCGTCCTTTCTCCGCTTGATCTTGTTCCGCTGTGTGGCCGACTTGCGCTCGGGGCGCTTGGCTTTGGCCTTCTCTGCCTCGTCGCCGCTGAAGCCCTCCCACTCGCTCTCCCACACGCTCTCCTCGCCGGAATCGGAATCTGTATCGGCGGCTGCGCGCTCCATGCGCTCTGCCTCTTCCTGGGCTTCGCGCAGGCGGCGCTTCTCATCTGCGACGGCTTTTTCGGATTCCTTGATGAGCAGCGCTTGCCACTGGTCGAAGTCGGGGTTGTAGCTCTTTCCTGCGTTGGGCTTGAGGACGGAGGGGATCTTCTTGCCGTCTTTTGAGAGCGAGACGGGGGCGCGTTTCAGCGTGACGGGCTCGACCTTGGGCTTCTTCTTCTCCAGGAACGAGAACTCGGGCTGCTCCTTGACTTCCTGGACGGCCCACGGATCGTAGTCGGCGGTGGTGCCGGACTGGACGACATCCTTCTTCACCTGCTCGCCGCCGTAGGCAATGGCACGCAGGCGGTCGTACTCCCGGCCGGAGACCTTGGCTTTCTTGCGCTTGCCCTCGTCGTCCATGTCGGAGAGACGCTTGCGGGAGGGGACGGCGGGGACGGCGGAGCGGGCGGCGAGGATCTGGTCGACCTTCAAGGGCTTGTGGCGCGACTGGACTTTCTTCTGGATGGCGGCGTCGCCGGCGGTGTCGACTGCGAAGAGCTGGTCGGACGGCTTTTCGGCGATGACACCTCTGTGAGCGTGTTAGAAGCCGTGTTAGAAGCCGTGTTAGAAGCCGTGTTAGAAAGCGTGCGACAGCATGTGAGCGTGCGGCGGGATGTGAGCGTGCGTGCAACTTGCCCTGCGATAATCTGGTCCCGCACTTCGTCGAGCCCAGAGGCGACCTCTGTGACGTCGACGTTCTTGCGCCAGGCCTTCTTGCCCTTGCGGCTCTTCTGCTTGTACTGGGCGGGTGCTGCGTCGGACATGTTTGCTGCGTGCGGTCTGTCTATCCAGTGTCGTCGACCCAGCGTCGTCTGCCCTGGGCTTTTCGATCCAAAATTTTGGCGGGCGCGCTAGAGAGATGATCCCTGCAGGCCCGTCCGGCGGTGTGGGGACGTCTGCCGGCGAAGGAACAGCGACCGCTCTCCTATTCCGACCCCACGTCGACTGCGAGGACCCTGCATCTCTCCCAGACGAACACGATCCCGAGATCTCGAAGCTCAAGATCGGCAATCCCTCCCACACAGACCCGTCATGGCGCAATCCGGGTACTCGAATCCGCTGAAGAAGTTCAAGTGAGTGCCTGCGCCTATGCCCCGGTGCGTGCGGGCGCTATGCTAACGCGCGCGCAGGCTGGTCTTCCTGGGCGAGCAGAGCGGTACGGCCCCGACGGTGGGAGGACAGAAGGAGACGGCGAGGGCATACTGACGGGCAGCAGTGGGCAAGACGTCGCTCATCACGCGCTTCATGTACGACTCGTTCGACAACACGTACCAGGCGACCATTGGCATCGACTTCCTGTCCAAGGTGCGCCTCACCGCCGCGCGCCGCGCGTCCCTCTCTCTGACCGTGTAGACAATGTACCTCGAGGACCGCACCGTGCGGCTCCAGCTCTGGGACACGGCCGGGCAGGAGCGCTTCCGCTCGCTGATCCCCTCGTACATCCGCGACTCGTCCGTGGCGGTGGTCGTGTACGACATCACCAACAAGAAGACGTTTGAGAACACGCGCAAGTGGGTCGACGACGTGCGGGGCGAGCGCGGCAACGACGTCATCATCGTGCTGGTGGGCAACAAGACGGACCTGAACGACAAGAGGGAGGTGACGACGGCGCAGGGCGAGGAGGAGGCCAAGAAGAACAACCTCATGTTCATCGAGACGAGCGCAAAGGTCGGGCACAACGTCAAGGCGCTGTTCAAGAGGATCGCGCAGGCGCTGCCGGGCATGGAGGGCGAGGGCCAGCAGGGGCAGAGTCAGAGTGCGTTTCCCCCGCTTGCAACCACGGAGCGTGCGTGTACTGACATGCACAGTGATTGACGTCAACATCAACCCCAGCCAGCCGCAGGAGCAGAACTCGTGCTCGTGCTGAGCGCCGAGCGTGTTGCATCGCGTAGAGCGTGTTGTAATTATTTGCGTTGTATTCACCCGCATCATTCACCCACATTGAGCAAGGCGTTCACGGGCAGGGCTGCAGTATAGGAGCTATCAGCCTACTCACACAACCAATCCATCATCATCATCATCATCATCATCGCCATCATCATCACCATCATCACCATCACCATCACCATCACCATCACCATCACCATCACCATCACCATCACCATCACCATCACCATCACCATCACCATCACCATCACCATCA